GGTAAGTATCGCCTTGCCTCTCACCGTGTTTGTCGTCATTGGCAGGCTCCTGAAGGAAGAGTGTAGGGCCAGTGGAGCTCGCGATCGTGTTTGCTTATGGCACAGGCTTCGCCGCCTAGGTCTGAAGTCTGGGTCCTCGCAGATTTCAGGCACGAAAGGAAAGCTGGTACTCGGAGTTCTGCACAACCCAAACAGACAAGCATCCCGACCTCAGCAGCAAGGATATGGAGCTCGATGCAGACGATGAGGACATGGAGGCATGTGTTGCCTAGAATTTGGCATCTGCCCTGGGTTTCGCGCCGGTTGTCCCGTGCAAGTGCTATTCGGAATCCCCTGCAAGCCTTGGCTCCACAAGTGAAACATCAATCGTCGGGGTTCGCTTGTCCAGGGTCTGACGTCTCAGCTCCGAGGCTTTGATCCTAACTTGTCAGAAGAAATGTGAGTGGCAGGTCGAGCGGTCGCAGCTGGAGGAGCTGGAAGAGGAGCCAGCAGACGAAGCAGCAACTCGCCAGAAAAGCTGGAGGCTTACTCACTGCGAGATCCTAGGCTCGGTCCTGTTCCTCTCTCAGGGCTCCAACTTGAAGAATCCATCCTTTGAGGTATAGGGTGAAGGGTCCAAGTGTCAGGGGTTGGCACTGGCACTGAGGTTTCTGAGCTTTCATTTCGTCCGGGCCAAGAGTGCTACCGCCAAACCTTGCCTCATGTATCCTCGAATGCGCTGCGTGTGAGAGCAGCCTCGATGTCATGCCTTTGATCGTTACTGGGATCGATGTTCAAGCCTGTCTGAATCCCCCGGTATTTGCAGGCGTTGATGAAGGCGGTGGAGGTCAGTGATGACGAGGCCCACGTTTCTAAGCATTGGACGGTGTCTAGCAAGAACGCATCCGTCTCAGTGCTAGCGACTCTTCAACCTTCTGGCTGCGCACGTTCATATTAATATTTGTTCACTTTACAGGCTTCTTGAGCGAAAAGGAACATGTTCAGGCTTCACGCAGGTTCTTGTGATACTCGAGAAGATGGTGAGGGGCGCGAGGTTCCAACCTGGCGCTCATGTTTTAGTGCACCACAAGGAGTCAGGAGGTTCGGGGGTAGGCGGATCAATACGCCCGTCACGGTCCACATGAGACGGTTGAATTGGCAGGCAAACCCGAGTCCGACATTACAAGTTTCAATGCAAGTCGCAGGTCAGTGAGTTTCTGGCCGAGTTCAATGCTCAGCCCATCGTTGCGAAGGAGCCTGGAACGGTTCTCAACCCAGAGGGACTTTGGGAAGCTGGTGTGAAAAGAGTTCACTTTCTGTTTCGGATGTGGCCTTCGAGGTGCAAGGTTCGTAGGATGTGGGGAACGTTCATGACTGTCGATGATTCTTGTCTGTGGGACAGCAAGTCTGCGCCGCAAATTGCAACCTGAGTTTTGAGCCATTCCAGACGGCAAGCATCCAACACGGCAGTAAGAATGATGGAGACATGCCAACATTGAAGGGTTCCGGGAAAGCGAGGCCTATAGCAGCTTTTGACCAAGGTCCCCATCGACCCATTCGAGAAGGATGCCAGCAAGCAGTTGGATACCTTCAAGGAGCAGCTAGGCCTCAATAGAGGTGCAGGTCATGGTGCTCAATGGCGCAGAAATGCAATTGGGATCTGCGCTACGAACTTCTATGCCGAGCCAGAAAGTCCCAAATCCAGTCGCACTCGTCTCGCAGCACTTTTTACTTACGCATGTGTTCGACACCCTCAAGTGTGCACCCTAAGCCCTCGGACCCAGGATGAAGGATGGCAGGCGCGATCTTATGTATGCGCGTGGCATGCCCAACAACCAGATGGTCATCACACTGCGGCCTGGTTGAAATGAGTCCTGTTTGTGGTTCGGATTCCGGCAGCACAGGAATTGCTTGTGTCCCTTTTTGTCGTCTCTAACTAGAGCTTCAGGGCATGGGGCATAATTACTGTACAGTAGACCTTCAGAAGCATCTTTCGAGCCTTGCAGAAACTTTAAGGCCTTCAGCTAGACAGAGAATCATTCCCCCCCCCTTGCGCGAAAACAGGTATTCCTCAGACCTCTCAAGCTTGCACCAAGAGGGTCCTTTCATAATTGTGCCTGGACTTAGGCTTGGAGTTTGGCAGGGGACAGAGCGCAGCGTGAAAGCCCGAAGCTCGCCCCTACCTGCCAGGAAGGATCGGCTGAACATGCTCTCGGAGCATGCCGCCAAGACGAATTTGGAGGGCTTTCCGTGCTTCATGAATCTTCTGACACCCGAAGCCTAGTGTCATCGAGCCCTGAGCTTTGAGTGGGTGGAGACATGGGCTGTGCATGGGGATAGAGTGGATAGAAGGTTCTCATTTGTGCTTCCTCAGCACAAGTGTTTCAAGTTCAGGGTTGTCTCTGCCCCAAAGAGCGCGCGGCATTGCTGTTTGGAGCAAACTAGAAACTAGAATACACGTTGCCTCATGCACAAATGCAGGCCAATGCGATCTGCCTTGACTAGGGACTCAGCAAACTCAGACACCAAACTTCTCCCTTCCCGTCCAAGGCCGACAATGGCGAGTGGAGACAGGCTCGGTACATCATGAAGGGTGCCTTGTCATTTCCAAATCTTTGGGCTGAGGGCCCAAGTATTGGATTCAGAGTTTAGAGGTTGGGAAGCCAACGCCGAGAGGGAGCTCTCCAGCCCCATGAAGGCGCCATGGGTCATTTATCCTATGACAAGGGTAACTACCTTATGTCAAGCAGGTCTGCGAGAAATTAACTTGGTCGCCTTTAGGGCTGAAGGCTGCGCAGAGTGGCACCAGCTAAAATGGCCAGGTAGGTGCGATCCGCAAGGAAGCCGAAACCCTTCCCACCCAGGCATCTGGAGAAGAAGGCATTTGCGGCTGCCTCTGGGTCGGAGGATGTGGAACCAGATGATCAAGGCTGAAAGCTGAGTCGTGCGCTTTTTCTCAAACCCTGGTTTGCCTGAATTGCCGTGCCATCGAATTCTGTCTCATCGGCCATACAATACATGAACCCCTGCGAATGCGAGGTCCAAACCCCCTATGTAAATCCTGAAGTCCCAGGCCCCTGAATCCGCTCGACTGTAAACCCGAAGCTGAAAGTCCCAGTTGCGGTCAGGCTCACGTCAATGCGAACCGTCCCATGGCCGCCGAGAGCTGGGTCAAGGAGCAAGCGCAAAGCCGAATGTGAGCTTGGCTCTTCCCTAGCCTTGCAGCCTTATCAGTGCTACTGCTGCATGCCGTGAAAACCCTGAACTCTTGTCTGAGGCAGGTGTATTTGTCTATGTGGGGTCTGATGATGGTGATGGGCTGATGGTTCAAACTGCTGGGACGTCTGGCTTGAGGCTTCCTCTAACCTTTGCAGGATTGAAAAGTGCATGCTGGAATGGACTGTTTCCGGGCTGAGGGAGGACGCGCTCGCCATCTGAAGCCCTGCTGGGTGTTGTTCAGGACATGCTGAATCGTGTCTTCCAGCCCGACATCTACAGCAGCTTGACTGCACGGTTCTGGGGTTTGAACCGGTTGGTTTACGAATCTGCCGTGCACTGTTATCTTCATTTTGCATCCACCGTCCTAAGCGCAGAGCTTGAGATCCCAGTCAAAGTGTCCCATCCAGGCCCTAAGCCCCATGCCGAAGCCCCGCGCTCCCAGTTCGGGGTTAAATTCTGCAAAGTCACAAGTCCCCACCTCACGGTTCTTGGTGGTTCAGGAAGCTGCCGGTTTGGAAGGTTCGGGTCGTTGAGCTTCAGGTTTTTCAGGGCCGTTCGACAGACCTTTCAGATCTTGTAGAATTTGCATGTTTAGGAGGATGCCGAGACGAGGCTACAACACCTTGCTGAAGTGCTACGGCCGGCGCGGAGACTTTCTCAAGGCGACGATAAGGGCGATTGAAGCTTGTCACATTGCATCGGAACTGCCCAAAAACTCAGCAGTGTACACAACCTAGCTTGGAGAAAGAAGGACTTGCAGCAGCCCTAAAAAATGAGCTTAATCCCATTGCAGCGACTTTGTGTTGAGACTGGTTGAAGGATGTGGGCTCGAACGCAAGGTTTACAAGTGGAAATTCGAGTATGGGTTGTAAATGATTTGCTTTTAAATTGTTTTCTCAGGCTTGCTTCATGGTTGTGCTGGCTGGGCAGAAGATTTGTTTCACAGAGGCAGAGAAGTGGATCCGGCGCATGCGCGCTCGAGGTGTCGCTCCGGACATGTACAGCCACCTGCCATGATTGGAGGATTTTGATTTTAGCCTTGGCTTTGCCCTGGGCAGGAGAACATCCAAGACAGACACAACTTCCAAATTTCAACTGGATGTCGACGGCGATGCAGCCATGAAGTGCAGGGGATGCGTTCTCTGCATATTACAGCTTTAAGCAGCTCACTTTTCGTGTTTCGCATCTTGCAAGCTCAGGCTACAGCGCTTTGGTGCAGGCTCCTTGGTCGTACCTGGCTGGTGCCGGAGGGTCCAGGAGACCCTCCGGCACCACTGAGAAGAAAGACTTCGGCTCGCCATATCCGAATTCAGTAGAACTTCAACCCTTCCCTTGCAAGGTTCCGAACCCTTCAGAACTGTGGCTACACAGTGCCACGACACGACCGGGCCCAGTCCAGGCGTATGTGGTTGCGGATGACATTGAGGGCGCTGCGACTTGGCTTCAGCATGAGCCTGCTTTTGCCGAAATGGGACTTGGCAGGCATTTTTCTTCATGTTCTCCTCCAAACAGTGCTTCGATCGATTAGTCCAGTAGCCCTGTAGCCGAGCACTTGCTGCCACGGCTGTGCTTTGAGACATTCTTCAGCTAGCCTGTGTACAACCCGGGACAGATTCGGCCTAGACCCTATGAAGTCGAAATGAAAGTCCGCAAGGCGCGTTCTAAGCTATATTGAGCTCGGAAGCCTCAAACTAGCCATTTTGGCTTCAAGGGTTGATTCTTGCAGGCTTCTTGTCTGCTTGTCTGCTTGCGGGGATGGTTGCCAACTGCGTCTCTTTATTCAGGAGCGCGTGTTCAGCAAGATGGAAGTGACAGACGAGACTCGGCACAATCTTCTTTTCACTACGCCATTGAAGTCTGCTCTAGGGAAGCTGATGTCCCGAAACTGTGCGGATGCCTGCTTGGGAGCAGGGCTGGCCCTTTGCAGAGGTCCCAACTAATTATTGCCTTAGAGGGATGACCAACTTGAGCATTGTAAAGTGGGAAATCTGTCAATTGGTTCAAGCTTGTGTGTTACGAGTACAAGGCATACCTTCTAGGGCCGGCGATGTGTGGACTGTTGCATTCATGATGTCCTGTCGTTTCAGAAGCCTGGATGCGGAGATGCCGCCAGGCAAGCAATACCTTCGCACACAACACGCTGCTGAAAGCCTATGCTCAGAAGGAGCAGGCACGACAGTCCATGCTCGAAGCCCAATCCTGCATTGTTGAAACTCAACTCAATGAGCAGAAGCGACTGCCGACCCGACATTCCTGTGCATCAGGCAGAAAAAGCAGAAAAGCTCTTCAAAACAATGGAAGCTCGTCTCCAAAAAAACACCGTCTTGGGTTGGACATTGAGTTCTGTGGCTTCAATATGGGGTTAGTAGAACTTTCTGCTGCTCGACTCCGCACTGCACTTCATACCAGCTGGAACGCTGACCCTAAACCCGGAATGGCCCATCATGAACCTTGAACCTCAAACTCGTTGTCAAATTCGTGGAGCCAAAATTCCGTTTCGGAGCTGGAGGGGTCAGGCCCCTTGAGTTGAAGGTTTTCGGTGGAAGGTTCAAGACTGCAGCGCGGAGACTTTCCAAGCCTTGGGATAGGAGGTTTAAGATTGATCAAAATGTTCTTCCACCTGGATTGGCCAAGCCTGAACCCTCACCCAGGGACTTTAAAGCTGTCATCCAAGTCTTCCACCTGCAGACATCAAAACCGTCATGGCTCGAATGGTAAAGCCACGTCACTGAGGCCAAGCCAGATGCCACCACGTATCTGCAGATGATCCGGGTGGCAGCATCCGTCTCTGACCCACAAGGTCGGAGCTGGGGAGATGCCGTTGAACGTTCAGAAGATGATAGTTTATTTCTAGTATGTGGGCGTCGGAACGTCTTCGGATTTTGCAGGATGTGGGTTTGAGGTAGGGACAAGACAAGAGCACGATTCCGAGAGGTCAAAGCATTCAACCATAATCTCTACATGTACTTCCGTCACCCTCATCCACTCTAACCAAAGCACAACTTCTTGAGCATGCAACTGCGACTCGACACATGGAGCCTTCCTTTTCCTGCCCCTGAAAGCTTCAACATGGATTCAAGTTGCTCCGCAACCTGACGCTGTAGGACTGGAACCAGGCTTCTGACATTTACACATTCACACCCCAAGGGCTCTGTTTACTTCCGCCTTTGCCGTGTTGCGAGGTGCAGCAGATTGGCTCCGTCGCATGTCCGAGGTGGAGAGCCTTCATGGGGCATCCTTCTCACGCACTGAGTTTCTCGAGTTCAGGGTTCGAGGGACAGGGCGAATTCAGGCTTGAGTGTCGGATTGGACGCGGTAGGATGAACGACTCCAATAGCAACATCGCCAACACCCCAACAGGAAGTTCAAGCACTCTCTGTCTCTCTCTGTCTCTCTATATATTATGTAGACATACATACATACATACATACATACATACATACATACATGCATGCATGCATGCATACATACACATACCTACCTTGAGACATGCTAGCTTTAAGATTTGCGGAGATCATGAGTGTTTCTCTTTGTTTTTGTGAAAAACAGTGGGAACATAAGCGTAACTATAGGAAAACATGGGAACAAACAAAGCATTTTGTCGAAAATGAACCATGGGCTCCGTGCTGTTTCGAACCGAAATCAATTTTTCCGATTTCTGAAAATCATGAATATGAATTCCTACAAATATGCTATTTTCGACAAACATTATTCAATGGATTTGCCACTCTAGCCCAGTACTGCAAGTCTCAACACTAGCTTGGCCCTGAGCCCGAAAGGTAGAGAATGTGACAAAGCTAGAGCACACCATCTAACTGTGGACCCAGGTATTACATGGTAATGTCCTCAGCTCCCAAATCAGCCAGGCGGGACTGCAGCCATGGGTGCCCCATTTCCACGCCGCACCTTTGCGTGAAAGAAATTAGGCTTTTCTTGTTGTTCATGGTCTTGTTTTGACTGCCACTGAACACATATCGTCTTGTAGCTAGAAACCAACCCTGCAATATTAAGCACCCAGCAGCCGACACTTTCTTATGATTCAACTTGGCAGGCTTCATGGATGAGGTTCGTTCTTGATGAGATTTTGGGAGTCAACAGCTATAACTGCACAGACCATCTCCTCTACTTTGCATTTCGCATGTAGGATGTCGGTACGAAGGCTGGTGGGCCCGAGATGAAGGGCCACAACCGCCCTGGCCCCAAGCCTCGGAGCCGGTTAGCAGCCTGGAGACCCAGGTCATGACCGCACATGCCAAGATGGGCGATATGGAGGGCGCGGAAGCGTGGCCGCTTGCTGGGGCATGAAGCGGCCACGAACTGTGTGGACGGCAACATTACCAATCATGATTGTTATGATCGCCATATACCACCCGGATATTTGTCTTCGCAGATTGGCGGCGTGGGGTAGCGTGGTAAAAACCGATCGGAAACTGACTTGTTCTTCCAGGAACTGACTTGTTCTTCCAGGGCGGCTACGGGGTTAGACAATTCCAACCACCGCCCTATTGGTGCTCAAGCTGCTACTAAGCTTAAGGTCCAGAGCTGGCTAGGTGATTCACGATCGTCGGTCGTACTTCAGACTTTCGATAGAGGAGCTTTAGTGTTGGACACAGTGTGTGCTGGTCATCAGGTTCAGAGTGATGCTCGACGAGGGCATGCGACCAGAGCTTGTGAGCCGGGCCCTCAGCTCCAACTCATCATGCGAGACGAAATCTCAACCTCTGCTGTCAAGTCTGTATCCATCCTGGGTTATACCGGCCTCGGCCTCGAAGTCCTTAAGCCTCAAATTGATGTCTCCATCCTGTATGAGCCCGAAAAGCTTCCCCAAAGTCATGACCGAGTCCTGAAAGAAGACCGTCGGCTATCCTGCTAGGCACTCTTTCTGGCTGTCTCGGTAATGACGACAGCGCGTTCCATCAAATCACATGTGGTGCTGCGCAATAGCGAAACGCCCCAAGCCTAGAACCCAACTGCAAGTTTGGGACCGAAGCCCACAGGCTGCAACATCCTGATGTCTGCTGCCGCGAACAGTGGCGACACGGCGGGTGCGGAGGGCATGCTACTCCGACCCCTGGCTGTGTTTCTGTGCCCAGCACGTACTGTGCACTGGATGCATTGACTGCGAAGAGCATTGATGAAGTATTCCTGGTGCGACAACACACGGTTTCAGAAGCTACGAGTCAAGTTCTTCACCATGCTTGAGCAGCTAGATGTTGATCACCGCACTTCTGAAGCCAGACGGCGATGGAGACTAGCCTCAATCGGCTTTGTTGAGTCACGCGAGATATGAGTTGTGGCTGAGGAATGGAAGACCTCCAGCTCAGACCTGCGCCGTGGCTGCCCATCACACTCCCCACTACGTTAGCCCTAATTTCGAGATCGCAGTCTGGGGAACTCAGCATATGCAGGGCATTGACTCTTGCAACATGGTCGACTTCTGTTCGTCGCAGAGACATGCCAAACGGGTTGGATTGTCGATGATTCTCACGAAGTAGCAACAGCAGATGTTGAAGTCGCCCGTCTTCAGCTCCGGCCTCCCGCGTCCCGTGAGACCTTCTAGAAGCGCCGTCCGACGCCACGAGGGAAGTCTGAAATGTCTCGGTCTGAAGGACAAGGCAGGAAGATTGAGCAGAGCAGTGTTTCGGGAAATTTGCCCTGTCCACCTGAGGATGTGGTAACGTACAGCACTCTCCTCAGCGCCTTTGCGAAGGCAACTTTGATAGAATACCGGTTTTGAGGAGTGCCTGGGGCCAGGGCCAAGGTACTTGCTGAGTCTTTCTCGCAATGCTTCGTGTCGTGTGTACTTCAGAGGGGCATATTATCGGGTGGTGTTCTGACCAAGCCTGCCAGGCGGGAAATGCCATTGGTGCACGGGACTGGCTGCTGCAAGCTGAGGAGGCAACAACAAAGTGTTGGTTCAGCCAGTTTAGTAACGATACACGGTTTCGGGGAGTTCTAGTTGTGCTTTGACGGTATTGCCGATGAGTTGCAGCTTTGGGGTTTGAGTTTGGGTTGGGGGGGTTTGGTAGCCATCCATGCCTCATGTGCAAAGAGCCAGAACACTTGGCTGATCGGAGGCAGGATGCCATGCAATTATGCAGGTATGCTTTGCGAGCTTTTGCCCCTTTTGGGACATGGGCGGAGAATCCTTTCGGACCCAGCCACGCCAGGGATGTTGGCCTACCTTGAGATATTTAATAGGACAGGATGACTTTGCTGCAGCGCAGTCATTGCCCAGAAGCCTTTGTCACGAGCATCGTGTCTTGACATTTCGAGTTTTCCCTGTGTCACCAAGACCCACACGTGCGCTCGTTCCAGAGGGTCTTCGATTGTCAAGACTTGTATACGTGTTTTCCAGGCTACTATTCTTTCTTTGAGTTCCGAGCTGAAGTTTCGAGGTAAAAACTTCGGGTCTGTGGTCGTTGTGCTTGCTCAGAGCTCGGTGCCCTGGAAGCGTGCTGGAGATGGACGGTTCTGCCCAGCTACCAGCACGATGTAGTCGCGATGTCAAGGAGAGAAAAATCTAGGCCTCGACTTTGTGGAACACCTTCGCCTGAAACCCGACGGGGTGAATCCTTGGAGCAGGCGGGCATTGAGCCAGACCTCAACTGCTACAAGCAGATCATCAAGGCGGGGCTGGCCATGTGGCTCAGGTGCAGCATTTCAGCTGGAATGCTTGTCAGGCATCCATGGGGCTGACTTGGAGAAAAAAGTCGCAATGCGTTCTCTGAGTCCGGCCTCGTTGGACAAGAATCCTCGCGTGTACCACCCAGGCCTCAACGGCACCCAATGCTCAAACCTTGCTTTTTCCGGGAGGCTTGCGTCCAGTCCGGCGATGCCGCGATGGCAGAGCGAATGGCCCGGCGTTTGCTGCGAAACCGGCTGACCCCAGATGCTCCCTCAGCTGAAATGGACGCAGACGTGGGAATCCTGTAAATGGGTTCTCTAGTAGGTCCTCCCTTCCACTCTTCGAGCGCCAACCGGAATCGCTTGCGGCCTATCATGAAACAATTGGCAGTTAGGGAGGTGGCTGGGTGTAGGCTTGCAGATGGAGGATGAGGGTTGAGACGTGTGGAGCACAGGGGAATGGACACCTAGGCAGCTAAATATCCTTGAAGACACTAATTTCCGATCTATCGAGAAAGCAACAGGTCTTATCCTCCCCAAAGCGACTTCACCCTGAATGCCTGGCACCTCATAACGATCTCCAGAGGCTTGCCACGACTAAATCCCATTCCAGACCCTTGACCATAACAACAAAACCTGAATTCCTCAGTCGAAGCTGCCAAAACCCTCTGTCGCATAGGAGCCCTATAGAGAACAGGCCAAGAGAAATTCCAGACACTACAGCGCCAGCCAGGGGCTGATTTCACCATCCGTAGTCCATCTTCGACCTCTCAATATCGACACCCCCGGCCGTCAACCAGAGAAGCCCGAATCTTCAACTTAGCCCCAGGGCTGAAGCCCAGCGGTTCTGCGAGACTTTTCGACAGCCCAGGTTTACACCTACAACATGCTCCTCAACGCTCTCGCCAAAGCGGGGAACTGGGCCTCTGCAGAGTTGCTTTGGCTTCAACATGGTGCCATGGGGGTTTAAAGTGCCTAAAGGCATCGTACCGGTCCCAGGGCCCAGGGGATTGAAGACTTGGGAGCCTCAGAGGTGTAAGGCGATCGAAAAGAGGGGCACTCGAGCGACTATGGCTGGTGGGATGTCGGAAGTATGGTGATATAGGGTTGGATTGGGATTGTGGTGTTCAGTGCTTCGCTCGAGGGCTGGAGTTTCAAGGTGTGGTGCTTTCACGCGTTGAAATGTGGAGTCTAGTTGGATTTTGGATGCCGACATCGAGATGTTAAGGCTTGTTCTCGGAAGCCCCCGAGGTTCTGGGTGGACCACATGCAGCGGGCTGCGAGGCACGTTGCAGAGCTGCGGTGACGTCAACTTAGATTAAATATCAACCCACAGGATGTAGACGTTAAGTGCAGAAGCAGCTGTGATGCTTCGGATTCCAACCCTTTCAGGCCTCATGCAACCTCCTCTTGGCATCTTTGTCGTGGGGATCGAACTCTACAAGCTTGTCTCGCCCCCTCCCTGGTTCACACGTCCGAAGGTGGAAGCACCACGAGTTCCCTTTGGACCAGATTAGCGTCGCCTATGCGGAGGCCACTGTTTGCAGCGTGGAGAGCTTGTAGACTGCCAGAGAGCGCGCATGGGCTCAGTCCTAGTCTCCCGTTCTCTCGGCCCAAATCTGTCGGAGTAAAAAGGTGAAGTGTTCCCCAGCCCAAAACCATACAAACCATGAAATCCCGAGATGCCTTCAGCCTTGCTGAGGTCTTTCTCGCACACGTGGAGGCTTGAGATCTTTGCGAGACTTGATGGACAGGGCAGTCTCTTGTGGTATAGGAATTTTCGTTTGCTTGCAATGGTGTAGGATTTCGTTACCTGGCTTGAGAACAGGAGCCTGAAGTCTGAAGGGCTTTAGGGGGCCTTCCGTCCTTCTCAAGGCACAAGCCTCAAAGAACACGCAGGGCCCACTGCCAAGCAGTCTTTCATAAGTGATTACTCATCCGAACATATCCGAACCTAGAAAACTCACGCACCAACTTTCACGCACGCCTTCTTTATTTTGCAGCCCAGGAACGGCCCTTAACCACCATGAAGCTGCACATGGCCATCATAATCATCCCCGTGGCCAGTATAGCACCGTGGAAAACAGCAGTACCAGGACCTGTAGAATACGGGGTTGCCCCCAAAGAAAAGGGGACCCTTCGCGTGAGGCTGGCGACTTAGAAGGCGCCGAGGCCTGGATGATGCAGATGGTTGGCCCGGCACTTACAATGCTCAGACTTTTCGCTGAGGAGCCTTGCGATTTTTTCGAGGGTGCCTGGGATTTGACAATCAGAAATGAACTGAATCAGTGTTTTTCGGCTCTAAGCCCTAAGGCGAAGGCATCGAGCCCCAGGCTCGATGTTACACCGCGCCGAAGCCCGAGTTTCAGGAGTGAAGGAGAGCTGTCGGGCTAGGAATGCCTGGGTCTATAAATGGAGTACCGACGACGTGTCACCGGATGGCTTCACAAAAACATGTACGATTCCCAAGCAACGTAACAGCTTCCTATAGATCTTCTTTGGCGAATGATTTGATCCCTTGCGTTTCGCTGTCGAATGAAAGGTAGCACTTTGTTGCTTCCGTGTCTTCGAATTAGCAGTACACCTCACAGGCCACAGCAGCGACAGACTTAGCGCATCAGCACCTTCTTGCAGAGCAATACATCTTCAACCAGAACCTTGTCGGAGACGAGGCTTGTGCAGAGATATCTCGATCAAGGAGATCTCGGCAGCGCCCCAGCCTCAGGAGTTGGTGCTTGCACAGGATCAGCTGAAAGCCTGGACCCCGAAAACTTCAAGCACACAGATTGCATGTCGTTGCTCACCAATTCCATCCAAGACCCCGAGCCGTTTGGCAAGCTTGAGCTTAATATTCTGGTAGCCTTTTTTTGTCAGTTGGTGATCGAACGAATCAGCGCCTCTACATTCCGTCCATTGGCATTCACCGAAGAAGCGAAAAACCCTGCAAACACCGTATTGCTGAGCCAACATCACCGAAGCGGCTAGGCGGCCTTAGTGACTTGCATAGTTTTAGGACTAGGGCGTTCTGCCTTCCAGCGCAGTCTCACTCTAAGCCCCAGCACCCTGCGCCTACGATGGCACAGCATGCCACCCCGGAGCAGTCTCAAGAAGCTGTTTGAGCAACGGCGTGCGGCAACCGAGTCGAGAAGAGGCGCTGTTTCGCAAAGCGGCACGAAGCGCACATGCCCAGAGCCTGCGGCATCTATACAATCGCTGTTGCTGGACGGTATCGATATTCATTCCGAGTGGAAGAGGCTGCTGCAAGAAGAGTTTGCGCAGCGGCAACAGCGAGACATTCGGGCGTGTGTCGCCGCTTTGCGGCAGTTGGGCCGGCGAACGACGGATGGACACCGGTTGTTGCATCAACTGCGTACAGCACCGACGTCTTCTAGTCCAGCTGCCAAGGCGATTATTGATGAGTTTTTGGCTTGTCGTGCAACGGCAGAGGGAGCGTCTGAAGAAGTCAGAACGGTGGTTGATCGCTTCGACCACATATCGAACGAGATCAGCTGTCCGCATGGCTGCGAGGGGCCAACCAGGTACGGATATCGCGTCGGTGACTTGAACAAGTATGCCATCATGGAGCGTCATGACCAACTTACTGCGGTGCTGTCATATTGCCCAAAGTGTCATTTTATCTTCGATGCGAACCTGTGACCTTGTTCGTTCACTGTGATGGAGCTCCTTGTCTTGACACGGGAGAGGCCTCATGCCTCCCAGTTCCAGATGACAGAGCGGCGGAGAGAAGTGAACAAAGCATCTGCTCCAAGTCTTTGGCCGGCACTCATAGCCAATAGCGGTCTTGCACCTCGAGCCATCGGTTCAGCTCATTCGAAATTCTATACCGACAAATTTCGAACCCCTCCTGTCCCGAAATCCGCGGAACATGCACGGCCGTTTTAGCAAAGCTTGACGCTGGAGCCCATGTGCAAGCAACTACACCCAAAAGCCAGGTCTTCACCAGGGCTTGTACTCTGAAACCTCCCTCGGTCCAGTTCATGTCTTATCATGAAGCTTAGCCAAGGCAAGGCGCTGGCTGGGGCGAATGAACACTTGGTGCACCACCCGGAACCGAGACACAGGGTTTAGGGTTGCTCATTCGGAAAATTCGGAAAGCATGGCATTTCTCAGGGGTAAACGAGTTTGAGTGTGGTTATCTCTGTCGGTGCTGTTATTAAGACCACGACTGATCTCACCACCGGCAGTCGTACAACCTCTGTGCATGCCCTGATTCCCTGCTGTTCCCTTATCACTGGCTTATCACTCTTATTTCACCGGTTGCTTTCCTTTGTTCCTTTAGCGACTGCTTGCGAGGTCGAACCATAACGCGCCTGTAAACCTCCTGGAAGCCTTGGAGCCGGAACGGCCTGGATCCTACGTTGCATTCGTGAGGCTGCCCTAACCTCGTTCCGGTACATATCTGCAAGTTGCCTAAGCCCTATCGACGGTTTAATGTCGAGTCCTGACTGGTCATTCAAAACTCGAGATGCGTGAATGAACTTCGACGACAGGGTCAGAATGTCAAGGAACCCAGGCCATCTTGCAATCCGGCCTTGAGCTGGGCAACCCTAAACGCAAGCTGAGAATCTCACCGCCGAGCGGGAGCTCGCGGTTGGAGCTTCGCTCTTGCAAATAGCGAGCTATTGTGCAAGACTGTGTTCTGCACTTTATGCATCTACAAGTACCTCCATACGTTTCCTAAGCGCTGCCCAAAAGCCACAGCCGGCAGTGCTTAGGGCCTGCTCACAAGCCTCTAACGCTCGCAGGCTGGAGAAGTCAAACAGTCTTCAACGCCCGAACTCCCAAGTCAATTGGTACATAGTACACTTCTCGCAGACATACCCCCACTTCGAGTCTCCGTTGTTTGGCAGCCCTTTGCCTCAACAAACAGAGACCACCTTCCCGGTCCGAGGTCGCTGCAGGAGGCTGTGAGCTCTTAGCTCTGCAGCAAAAAAAGTTTGCCACTTCGGGCTTCTAGCTTCCCTTTCTTTCGGGTAGAGGCCTCCCGGGTTCAAGGGTCTCGGGCTAAGTGATCTGAAGGTCGCGAAGGCTGAAATGGACAATCTTGCACATGCGCAGGCAGTCCGAAATTAACGGTGGGGTCCGGTAAGCCTGGTCATACAGAAACCGCAAAAATTCTGACAATGCATGTAGGCTTTGAGGTTCAGAGAGTTCAGGAAGTTGGTTTGGGTTGCCAGGCCGGGGTTATGGGCAGCTTCAACGTCTAAGCCGGTGCCGGTGCTTGGGATGGTTGAGTTGTCAACGTGTAGCTAAGACGATTGATTTCGAGTTGGAGGATGATAATTTGCAGCGGTGACCAGCCAGTTCAAGTCTAATTGATGCTACGGAACCCTTTCGTTGCGGCTGTTGAGTTCTTCAGGCTGCCGAGTTTTTGAAAGGATTCTTGTCCAGTTATTGTGGCTGCAATGCCAGCGCGACCGAACTTGTAGATTTGTGTTCCTGCTGTCCGCAGTTGGCTTGCGGCTTGCGTACTTGTAAGCGCCATCCTTGCTCGCCATGGCCTTCCGTTACGCCTTCCGCGCCGCGCGCGGCGGCTTCCGGTATGCTGCGTCGCGACCCGCATTGGCGGCCGCTGCTACGACTGTCACGGGATCTGCAGTGGCGGGCTACGCTTGGGCAAAGCCAAGCGCATGCCAGACCTCTTCGCTAGTAGATGTGTCTGGCCTAACGAAGGTTGCCAAGACGGACGATGTGGGGCTCCTACCACAGCCAACGAACCCCAAGTACAAGACCGCGCTGGTCCAAATCTACGTGGGTTCCCAGCCCTTTGGCGGCTCCGACAAGAGCGCCAGCGGCCACCGTTACGACTCCATTCCCATTGCCAACGGCATGATCGCTTCGGGCATGAGCTGCCAGCTGGTCCACTACGTGCCAGAGGAGCATCCGGGTCTATTTCAGCAAATGCAGGCTTTCGGCTGCTTTGGAACATAATGCGAACAACCAAACGACCAACTGACCCATCATACATATGAAAAGGTCTTGCATGGGAAAGCATTTTGAGGCACGACGCCTTCATCAAAACCATGGAGGGCTTCGATGCAATCATCGTGCGCTGCAATCCTGGCCAGATCAACGCAGCGGGCGGCGATCAAATGAGACCTTATACAATTGGCTAGTACCAAGGCATGCTGAAACTCAGAAGTGGTGCATGCTCAGAGCGGAAGGATAGTAGTTTAACGGTTTTGCGGATCGAAGGGCGGGATACTCTAGGTTGCTCGCTCGAGCCCGTCAATATTAGGTCCGGGAGCCTCACAACACGAAACAACCTCTGCAAACTGCCGCAGACCCCTTTCTCAGTTTCGTCCCATCACCAAAATTCCTCTCACGCTCTCTACGTGGCTCGTGACCAAGGAAGTTCGATGATGCCATGCGAGGGCTGCAAAAAAAGGGCAAGCAGGCTCGACGCAGCTAGGGAGTTTTGTTTGGGGTCTGGTTCGTTGTTAAACTCGGCATGTTGCATCGGCAGGCAAGTCGCTTTGCACATCGTGGCCTTTTGCTCGAACCCGCTAGGCCTTAAGCCATAGGCTTCGCTTGCGGATGGAAAACAAGCGCTGAGAGCAGTTCGCCTTTCTCGTGTTCTGCTCTGTCTTGCTTTCAACAGTGGCACCGGAGCCTGCGTGATCCAGCTGCTGCTGCTGCGCATCTCTCTACTCCTTTGCCTCGGCGGCCGAGTTCACCTTCACTTACCCGATCAGCCGGGCCTTCTCAGTGAACTTCGGCCTCCTCGACGTCAGCGGGCCCTACTACGAGATCGTGGCAGGATCTTGCTGCTTTTCTGTTTCTACCCTGGCCAGATACTTTGAGCGGGGCCAGGACACTTTTGCTGAATTCGGTGTTACTTTTGGCTTTGCTGCATTGAGTGCTTCCTCTGAGGGCTCTCGCACCAAGTGCATCTGGCGTGATGGCTGACAGCAAAGATGAAGGAGCCAGCGCCTGGTACAGGGTGCCGACTTGGGACGGGAGTCCCCTTACCTGGCGTAGCTTCCGCCGGGAGATGGATTGGTGGGTCTCGAGCTTGGACTTGGAGAGCACTCGCAAGTACAACTTAGCTGCGAGGTGGCTTCTTAGACAAACGGGACCGGTTCGCCAGAGGGGCGAAGAGTTTAGCCCGAAAGAATTGGAATATCAACCCGAGATGCGGGGCAAGGATGGCGAGGGCAATGACGTGGTGATCATCAACGAAGACCTTCTGGCGGGACTTAATAAATTGCTGAATGCATTGGAGGAGATTAATGGACGCACTGTCCTCGACAAGCGGGGCGAATTGCGAAATCTCTTCTACCCGCAGCTCGTCAGGAAGCCGGGTGAGCGTGTTTCTGAGTTTTGCTCTCGCTTCCGGACGGTGGTGGCCGACCTTAGGCAGGAGGGCGTCAAGATCCCGGACACTGAGTTGGGATGGTTCTTGCGCGAGAAAATCGGCCTCGACCCCCTCAGGAAACAGTTGCTGGACACGGCCCTGTCCGGGAAGGAGGAATACAACATCATTGAAGCCGAGATTTTGCGGCTCTTCAAGGACCTCCACGCCAGCGACCCGCTCTTCAAGAAGCCCGGCCTGAGGTTCTTCGGTGCTCGGCGGCCGGCCTCTACATCCTTGGGCTCTTCGGCGGCATCGTCGCGACCTATGTCCTCAAGCTTGCGGTCCTCGACGGGGCGATTCACTTCGGCGCCTACTACCCCTCGGCCCTTCTTCAGGCCCAGCCCGGGGCGACAAGCCAACGTTGCCGAGACCGAGGAGGATGAAGCCGAGGCCGAGGACGCTGACGACGACGATTGTCCTCGCTGAAGCTGGCCGCGGAGATTGAGGAGCTGGCCGAGGATGGGGCCGATGACGAGCTCATCGGTGGCTTGGAGGCATCGGTGGAAGCCGGTGCGGAGGCATTGGTCTCCATGCGGGAGGCCCGATCCCGACTACAACAAGTTCGCAAAGATAGGGGCTATCAAGCTCCAGCCGGAGGCGCTTCTGCGAAGAGTGCTGGCCGAAAGGGCGGGACCCCAGCCAACCGCAAAGCTTCTGGGAAACATCCTTGCTTCGATTGCGGGGAGCATGGGCACTGGGCTGGGGACCCTGAGTGCCGAAACCCTGGTGCCGGCCTTGGACGAAAACCTCCTGCCGCTGGTCGGGGCAAAGGCGGCTCTAGCATCGCGAGGCAGGCGAAGATTGCCGAGCATGAGGCCCATGTGATTGAGTACGATGTCCCTGCCTCCCCGGAGGCCGGCCAAAAGATCCACGAGGCGATGGTTTTGGACCACCTTGCTTTGGATGAAGCCCTGGCTCACGGGGCCCTGGTCTCCTCTTCTACGGCGCCGCCCTCGACTGCTCACCTGGATGGCGATGGCATTGGGGCCCTCGACTCGGCCTGCAATCGTGCTTGTGCTGGCCCTCGCTGGCTTCAGAATTACCTCTCCTTGCTGGAGAGCTGTGCCCCGGAGCAGGTTCGAGGAATGGTTCGTACGGTGACCGAGAAAGAGGCCTTCAAGTTCGGCAATGGTGGCGTGACCCCGAGCTATGAGCGCTGGCGGCTGCCCGGGATTCTTTGTGGCCGTCTCTTTGCTTTTTGGGTGAGCATCGTTCCAGTACCCTCGTTGGGCCTTCTGATGGGTCGTGACTGGATGGAAGCCGTCGGAGCAGTGATTGACTTCGAGCGAAAAGTGCTAGAGTGCCGCCGATTGTTTGAGGGTTCCCTTGAGCTGTTCCAACTTCGGGCGGGACACTTCATGGTCAACCTTCTCCCCAACGACCCGCGCCCGGATAGCTGGGGCCTCTCTCAAAGGGGTCGTCTTCGTAGATGTGGTTTGGATGGGGTCGTTGAGTTGACTATGTCTTCGAGGCAATGGCTCGGCCGTCTCATTTCCGGTGGTGCTGACTGTGCTGCCAATGTGTCCGAGCACCTCTTGTCTGAAGCCAGCATTGTGTCAGGACGTGAAGTGATGCAAGTTGACCGGGCACGAACCTTGACCACCGGTACCTTTTCGGCTCGATCCAGAAGCTCGCGACCCTCGACGAACCCCCAAGCCAGCGCACATGGAATCCGCGCGCCTCTTCGGGAACGTGGTGCTCAGCAAGGCCACTCGCCGATGGGGCCGCATGCTTCAACGACTTCGCGCCCGCGCGCAATGGCACATAGGAGGTGTACTCTTGTGGCTTTTGCAACGGCCCTCCTTGCGTTATGTGCCGCTTCCTTTCCCCTCGGTGTCTACGGTGGCAGCTTGGAAGCTTCAGGCGGAGAACATGGTTCAGAGGAAAACTTTGGCTCGGCGACACTACGATCGAGCACTGCCTCTCCTTACGGCATCACGGCTGGTCGAAGCCAGCTGGCTTCGGGATCGACTGGGACTTCGTCTCGCTTTCCTCGAGGACCCCTTGGTCGACGGCATGTTGGCGGCCCGCTCTTCTACGAACCGAAGCAAGTCCTTGAAGGCGGCTGTTTTGCGGGACCAGCAGGAAGAGGCCAAGGAGCTCCAGGACAGACTTGGCCGAGAGGAGGCGGTGAGAACTTTCCTCGGCCCGAAAGGCGGGCTCCCCACCTTAAAGGCCGACCTCCTGAAGCTCGCCACCTTGGTTCATGTGCCGGTCGACTCCAAGGACACAGTGGACACCCTGAAGAAGAAGATTCGACCAGTCATTGGGAGCCTTCGGGGCCACCCAACGCCTTCTACCCCGACGTCTTCGACTACAACCCGTTGCCTACGACCGCAACATCATCCTTGGGACCGGGGCCTTTGAAAACTGCCGGCCCAATGCCAGTGACTTCCCTGGAGGATGCTTTGAGTGCCTCGTCGCAAGCCACCATGGCCCAGAACGCGCTCCTACTCGAGCAGGTTCGGACGATGATGTCGCAACAGGAGGAGCGGTTTCAGGGCATGTGGAGCCAAATGTGGCAGCACGTCTCCAGCCTGCAGGTGACGCACCCCGACGAGGACAGGACGAATCTCCGGCAAACGACCCGCGACTTCAGATGGCGGGCGTCCTGGACAGCGGCGAGGACTTGTGAACCCCTGGTGGTTTGACCCTGCTCCCCTGAAGCCTGGTACGAAGCAGCTTGTTACACAAGCCTGGCGCCGCCATCATCGTGAACAACTTCTTGTGTCGGCGGGCGTCCATGATATCAACGAGGTGATGTTCCTCCAGGAGGCCGCCGATTACCAGAACGAGGTGTTCATCGGCGAGCTGGTCCTGGGTGTATTGGGCCCTCTCTCGGGCTCGATTTCGCAAATTGGCAAAGCCCGCGGACACAACGTGCTCGAGGGGCTCACCCTGGACGGCGGCCACGACGACACCAACTTCGACCACCAGCGACTGGCTTTGGCCCTCATTCGCCGCAGCAAGCCGCAGTTTCTCATGATTTCGTTCCCGTGCCCTGCGTTCAGCCCCCTGCAGCGTCTCAATTCCACTCGCAGGTCGGCTTTGGACGCACAAAAAGATGATCGGGTGAGGATGTCTCTGCGCCTGGCTCGCTTCGCGACTAAGGTGGCTGAACTTCAGCTTCGTCTCGGCGGGCACTTCGCAATTGAAAATCCCCGGCAATCCCAAGCCTGGGGCCCGCCGTCTATGGTTGCTTTGTCACGACGGCAGGCGGTTCGCAAAATCGACTTTGACAATCATGTGTGCCTTCGGCTTTCGGCGTCGCAAACCCTCCCGGATTTTGACCTCATCTCAGGTCTTGGCCAGTCTTGGCATCTTCCTTGCTGGGCCGTAAGTGCCCAGGCAGCTCCCGGGATCATGTGCACGTGCCGTGTATGGGCAAGACTGGCCGCATCTCTCAGGTCGGCGGCTACCCGAAGACTTTCTCCAAGGCTGTCGTTTCGGCAGCCGAGGGCCAATTCGACTTTGACACTTACGCGATGTATCAGCCCGAGGCGACCGAGCACGAGGCCATGGCCGTTGATGGCGAGCTCCCCACTGCCTTGGAGGACACTCGTGGGGAGGGTGTCGACCAGACTGACTATGACCTGGGGATTGCGGGGCTCGGATGGTGAGGTGACCAAACGGCGGAGGCCGAGATGCGGATCGCGCCGGCCGTGAGGGCGGTGGTCTACAAGCTGCACGTCAACACGGGACACCGCTCGCCAGCTCGACTAGCCCGGGCTCTCCTTGTTTGTGGAGCGCCTCGCGAGGCAGTCTTAGCGGCCAAACAGTTGAAGTGTTCGGTTTGTGCCGAAAGGCGTGCTCCTCGGACTCGGCGGCCGGCTGCTCTGCCTCCTCCGCGTGATGTCGGGGAGCAAGCTCATATAGACCTCTTGGTGGTGGAGGATGCGGGCAAGCAAGGCTATGTGGTGGTGCACATCACAGACTCGGTCTCCCGATTCCAAATGGCCAGCCTTATCGAGGACAAGTCCAGTCAATCGGTATGCCACTTTCTCAAAACACACTGGCTTCCGATCATGGGTGCTCCCCGGGTCTTGGTCTGTGACCAAGGACGTGAGTTCGTCTCTGAATTCTTTTGTGATTGGGCCGAGGCGGCTGGGATCTATCTTTATCACATTGGGGTTCAATCACCATGGCAAAACGGCTTGGCCGAAAGATCCGGTGGAACGTTAAAAGCCATCACCCATGCACTGGTTACTCAGCACACGCTCCTCGGCGCTACTCAGGTGGCGGAGGCGGTCGGCGAAGCAGTCAGTGCTTACAACAGCGACATCAACGAGGAAGGGGTGACGCCGCTTCAATGCGTGACTGGACGCCAACCTCGCGACATGGTGGATTCGCTTGCGTCCTTGGACAAAAGCCTTGCAGCCCACTCTCTTCTCGAGTCTCGGCCCAGCTTGGCTCGGCAGGTGGCACTTCGTGAAACAGCGAGGGTTGCGATGACTCGTCTACATTACCTTCGACGAGCTAGCCTGGCCCGCGCCCGCACCGAGCCGAGCGAGGAGCAACAACCCCAACCTGGCGACATCGTGTTCTTCTACCGGCAGCAGAAGGTCAATCGGCGGAGGGGCGAGGCGAACGCAGCCACCTCGACCCAACGGAGGAAGGTCGAGCTTCGCCGATGGCACGGGCCTGCTCTTCTCATCGCGACTGAGGTTGGTTCCGATGGCTCGCCTGGAGGGAATTGTTTTGTGAGTTTTCGGGGCCAGATGACTAAGTGCTCCCGAGAGCACGTTCGCAAAGGCTCCTCTTTAGAACAATTGGCTGCGGGCGCCTGGCAGGACTCCTTGGACGAGATGATGGCCGAGCTTGAGGACATTCGTCTTCCAGACCCCGAACCTCAGGACCGACTTGACAACAACGAGAGCTTTTCTCCCGAACAGGAAAGGCCCTTGACCTCAGTGAACTCTGGGCCCTCTCCTGACTTGAGCCCTTCCGAGATCGTTGCGGCGCTCGGCACGCCTTTGGCTTCGCTGGCGCCCTCTAGGCGAGCCTCGTTCCAAAGTGTGCCTGGTAGCGACCTACGATCTGAACTCCCGGGGCCCTCTCCACCTACACGATCTCCGGGATCACCTGTGGGTGGTCTTCTCTCCCGAGTTCCTCGAGTACGTCTGGGTGAACAACTTGGTTTCCAGAGCACTCTGTCAAGAGCCCGGTCACTTGATGACGAGCTCCAGGAGTCTCGGGGAATGAAACGTGCTGCTTCGGAGCCTTTGGAGGGTACCTCTCGAGCCCCACCTTCAGCTTTGGCTTCGGCACCAACAGAACCTACAGCACTACAACCACCTACTACCTCGGGGGCGTCTCAGGTTGGTGACTTGCCTTCAGCGTTGGCCGAAGCACCCACAGAACCCGCAGCACTACAACCACCTACTACCACGGGGGCCACTCCAGCTTTTGAGGCTCTGACGCTGACACACCAGGAGTTGGACCAGATCGCATACGGCAATGAACAAGTGCATCCTTTACTTCAAGTGCAAGCTCTTGCCGAGCACGACCGCAGATTCCCCTTTGAATTTCAGGAGTATGACTCGGGCACGTGGGATGGTCGCTGGTCTCTTCCTTCACGACGTGAGTGGCAACTGCGAACGGACGTGGGTGAGTGCTTCCCGGTGGGCAACGAGCATCACATTGATGCGGTGCAGGCGGCGCGGAAGGAATACAACTACCGCTCCTTGACTCCTCAGCTTAAGCAGAAGTACGACGAGGCAGCGATTGCAGGATGGAAGGCCTACATCGACAACCAGGCGGTTGAGCTCCTCGATGTTGAGGCGTCCCAGCGGGTGAGGAAAGACCTGGCTTCGCGCGGCGAACTTGATCGGATCCTAAAGCCCCGCTTTGTCCTTACTGACAAGCATGATGGTCTTCGCACCGCCACTCGGCCCATGGACGTGAAAGCTTCCACGAGGCTTGTCGTACCAGGGTACAAGGACCACTCAAACCTGTCCGGTAACCTTCGGAGGGACGCGCCAACCGGAAGCAGGCTGGCTCAGCACCTTCTCTTCTGCATCGCTGCCTACCACACCAGTTGGACAGTGACTTCGGCCGACGTCAAGTCGGCATTCCTTAAAGGGGACCCGTACTTGGACCGCGAGCTGTATGTCACCGGCACGGATCCCCGACTTGGTCCTTCGATTCCCGTCCCGGCTGGCTGTCTAGCACGTGTCAGAAAAGGCATCTTCGGACTTGCCGACGCTCCTCGTGAGTGGTGGCTCAGACTGTCTCGCAGCTTAGCGGCCCGCGGATGGGAAAGGTCTCAGATCGATGGGGCCATGTGGTTTCTTTGGAGCAAGCCTTCTAAGAATGGCAAGCGCCAGCTTGAAGGCGTGATCGTCGCACATGTCGACGATTTGCTGATGACTGGCTCACCCCTGGCTGAGCGCTCTTTACAGGCTGTGGGTGACGAGCTTGGCTTCGGCAGTGTCGAAAAGAACGACTTCGTGTGGTGCGGGAAGCGCATTCGTCGGGCAGCGGATGGAACCATTCGTCTGTCGATGGCGGAATATCACCAGAACCTGAAGGAGATTAACCTGCCCACCTACCGACGTCGACAGCTCAACGCCAAGCTCACTGAGCCAGAGCGACGCCAGCTGCGGGCCCTTCTCGGCAGTCTTCAATGGTTGACGGCCCAGCTTCGCTTTGACATGGGATTCATCGTCTCTACTTTGCAAGGGGAGGCACCTACAGTCAAGACCGTGCTCAAGGCGAACTCGGCCGTCCGCGACTTCCGCCAGGACTGCAACTTCGAGATGATCTTCCGGCCCATCGACTACAACCGCGGTGGCCTTGTGGTGGTGAGCGACGCAGCCCTCGGCAACGTGAAGCTCAACGGGTCCGACGACGGCACGCCCACTGAGAAAGTGTTCAGCCAGGCTTGCGCCTTCGTTTTACCGCATCCCTCGCGTGTGTCGGTCTTCATATGCGGCCGAAACTCTAGGAGCTGAAGAGGCCATGGATATGGGTCTCTTGTGCCGAGGCTTTGTCGCCAGTGTCAGGGACTACCTTTCCGTGGGCAAGCTCGCCGAGCGCTCCCTTGACAAGGTCCCTCTTACTCTGATGGTCGACGCCAAGGACGTGCACGACAAGGGGAACTCCGACACACCAAGCTACGGGACCCAGAAGTCTTTGGCCTTCGTGGTGGCCTGGATGCGGGCCGTCCTCCGTCGTCCCAACACCGCGCTCAGCTGGACGGCGACGCAGAACATGTGGGTCGATGCTGGTACCAAGATGATGGACTTGACTCACTTGAGAACTACGATGCGCCGTGGCTCTTGGTCCATCACTTACTCCCCTGACTTTGTTAAGCAGGTTCAGAAGGCTAAGCGGCCCTCGGCGTCTTCTACTCGGACGACTTCGAACTCTACTACCACTCCTTCAGGAGAACCTCTTCGCCCTGACGACCCAGTTTACGGTCACCTTCTGAAGCTGGCCAAGCTGAAAGGATGGCACACCCAAAACGGGCTTGGCATCAATGTGGCGAAGAATGCACGGTCCTTAAGGACACCCGAGCCACGTTTCCCTAGCGACTCTCTGCCGTTTCGTACTACTTTTGGTTGTTTCCCTGCCGGGGATCAGCTGGAGTGGCGAGTGCTTGAGAGAGGCACCAAGTATGGTGCCCTGCCGAATCAGCATGCTCTAATCGGCCATGCAGATACGCTGATCACGATCTTCCATGCGGAAGCAGTGCCTCAGCCTCTTGGTGCCGATTGAAAGCAACAAAGAAAGTATTAGGCATGTTAAACTCGGCATGTTGCATCGGCACGCAAGTCGCTTTGCACATCGTGGCCTTTTGCTCGAACCCGCTAGGCCTTAAGCCATAGGCTTCGCTTGCGGATGGAAAACAAGCGCTGAGAGCAGTTCGCCTTTCTCGTGTTCTGCTCTGTCTTGCTTTCAACATTCGTTGACCCGAGGGTGCGGGGCTTCAGGTCGGGACAGGTCCAGGGTCTTTGAGCAAAGACTTTGCAATTCCAGAAGCCAGAGGTGAAGCGCGCCAGATCGGATTTCGAGCTCTCCGTGGTGTGCACAATTAAGACCTCACAAACCACGTGAGACCCCCCCCAATGTATGTCTGGCAGCATACAGTTTTCGCACCGGGGGAAGTCAAGATTTGCTGGCACAAGAAGAAAACTTCATCATCACCTGCTGAAGTTTCGAAATCTGAAGGTGAAAAAGGTCCAATGGTTCATTCTTCAGGGCGTCTCGCGGCATCAGCCCCATCCCTACGGAGGTCTGGCCCTCTCCCGATGTGAGCCGGCTGGTGCACCGACTCCCGGCGAGCTCGGCGGCAGCTTTGGAGGCCTCCTTCGGCTACGGGACCTGTGACTGCCTCGCGTTGCTGGGGCTCGTGGTCCCTTTGGATGGTCGGCCCCCCTCCCTGAAGTGCTACGACGTGGTCAAGGTGGAGCGGCGAATCAAGCTGATTGGCATTGCGGCGCATACGCTCGAGCTCAAGCAGCGGATGCTTCGGACCCTTGTCCTCCCGAAGCTCACGTGGTCGGGTGGCTTTGCCACAGTACCGAGCGAGCAGATGCAGAAGCTGGTCAACGCCTTCAGGGTCGCGCTCACGAAGGCCACTGCAGTCGATGCACCGCATGTGCTGTACTATGAGGTGGGCCACTGGTCGTGCCACCCAGAGTTTGCAAGGGACTGGGCTGCGCTCCGCGAGGCCGAGCGCATCCACAGCAGGGAGCCCGTGTGGATCGAAGAAGCTTCGCTCCGCCTGGCTGCTCGGAAATGGTTTCAGCTGCTCCCCACTACCAGGACCGTCCTGGCAAGGCTTGGGTGGTGGCACGACCCGGCCGGTGACTTCTTCCAGAGGCGCGACAGTTACCAGCAGATACGCAGCTATCAGCTGGGTGCCGATGCGGCGGAGGTGCTCCATGAGTGGCTGTGCGACTGGTACCGGCGCCGTGGCTTGGCACAGTGTGGCAGGGTCGCGAAAGACCTGAGCCGAAACCTGGAGGAGGACTCCCAGCTGGCCCAAGGCTTGCAGCTGCCGCCGCCTCCTCCCAACACGTTGGCGGTGTTTGCGGGCCATAGGCTTGCTTGGAAAGGAGCTAAGGACGTCGTCGACCGCCGCTCTGCCATGGTCACTGGTTGTTCCTTTTGGCACAAGCAGAAGCGCAGGAGCCAGCGCGAGCCCCGGCCGCTTTCGGAGGCGTGCCTTTGTGGACAGCTGAAGCCCTCGAGACCTCACTTGCTGTGGAACTGCGAAGCAACGGCGGACTGCAGGAGCGAAGTGCGGATGCCACAGAACCGCATGGAGGAGCGGCTTCTCGCTGTCGCCGTGCCGGAGACCCCCAAGCCACCCATTGTGTTGGACTATGAGGGCTTCATTGCGGACATCGCGGAGGTCCTGACGGCGCACCTTGAGGCCGAGGGCCGCGTGACAGTGGCCACCGATGGGAGCGTCGTCGACAACGTGGCGGCGTTCTCTGTGGTGATCGAGGGCGAGGCTCACCCTTTCTCCCTGGGCGTGGCAGGCGAGGATCAGTCCTCCCATCGTGCAGAAGTGGAAGGCCTGGTTGCGGTGCTCAAGGCTTTGAACCAGACAGCCTGTCGAGGCCGGGTCCTCTTGATCTCTGATTGTCAATCTGCGCTGCGGGTGATACAAGGAGGCGGCTCTGCGGCTCTCTTGGCCACCAAGGCATTGCAGCTGTTGCGGGCGGCTCATGCCCAACTGGACCTGAGTCTGTGGTGGGTGCCGTCGCACGGAAAGTTGGCGCCGTCGAGGTGGACACCGCCCCCATGTGGAGAGATGATTGGACGGGCTCTCAATGCACAGGCGGACCGCTCCGCCCGAGATCGCGCTTCGGCACGTGCTCAAGGTAGTGATCGCCAGCTTTGCCTCCGGGCGCGCGAGCAGGCCATGCAGTGGGAGCAGAGCGCGCAGCAGGTCCTGAACCGATGTGCGCGGCGCTGGGCCGACGCCTGAGCGCAAAACCGCGGTGAAGAACGGCGACGACCTGGTCATCGTGCCGTTCACGGCAATCTTTATCAACCTCTCCCGATGTGATGACGAACATGGGGGCCAAGGATGCGTTGTGCCCCTTGCTTGGAGTGACAATCCGTGCTTTTTGCCAGTTTCCGTACGATCTGCACATCAGTATGGCAAGGTTCCGTTCCCCGCTGCACCAGCATCAGCAGTTGAGCCTGCACCAAACATGGCTGCAACACGAACACAGTCGAGGCACCATGTGCGTTTACAAGCCCCATGTGATGCTTCTACATATGAATCTACAGAGCCTCAAAAGCCCCCTAGTCCCGGTCAGTCAAGCACAGGCAAGATCGCGGACCTCTCCATCGGATTGCCAGACACGCTGGCTTACTACTCCCCAGAGGCAGACTTGGGGTTTGGGTTTTGTGGACTCAGCTCAGAGTTCACGGTGAAGGGCATTCGTTTCGTTGGCTGAGGCACTTTCTCAGTTTTTCGGGAACTTAGCGCTCATGGTGAGGTCCTAAAGGTGTCGACAGGGCATGGAGACAACCTTCAGAAAAGATGATCGCATTCCCCTGCGCTTGCCTTGCGAGAGAGTATCCTATATGTGCATATGCAGAGCCGAACACTACTGAGTGCCAACGCTCAGCCCTTGGTGACACGAATCTTCCCCATCATGTTTATTGCAGTGTGCTAGGGGGCAGCTTGGAATAGTTTGCTGTTTCGTAGACGTTGTTGCTTGATTCTGGCTCATACCAAATTTCGATATGTTGATACAGGGGTGGAAGGTGAGAATCTGTCCAGACCCCAGACGGTCTAGGGAAAACAGTCTCGCAACTTGCGACGATGGCTTGAACCCTAAAACACCAAATCCGGCTTTAGGCCTGAACCCTCAACCTTCTTCTATGGCCCGCACCGAGTAGTCACTCCTGTCTCAGGAGTTCGCTGCCGGCTTCAAGAAGCGATCTGGCTCGAATGAGGTTTCGCATATTTAGAGCTGTGGGTAGTGCTTTGGTTGTTGGAGAGCAGAGAGGTAGTTTGCCACTTTGGCACCGACTGGTCCGACTCCGGACCTGCATAAAGCCGATGAGCCAGACCATGACCCTCACATCTTCAAAGCCAAGCCTTCATGATGCTTCCTTTCGAGCCGGCTCTCTAAGGACAGTTCTTGAGGTTCCGGCTGTAAGTTGAAGGGAAGTGTTGCCACGACTTGTCTCGAGGACGATGGCTTTCCAGCCCCGTGTCATCAAGCAGAACCGAGGCCTGGAGATGCCGGAAGGTTTATTCGGTTTAGGATCTACGTCTTAGGATTGAAAGAATGCTGACATATTGTGGGCCTGCGATGTGAGGGTTTATGGTGTGGAGTGGTTGAGGGTTTCGATTGGCCGGGGTTCAGGGTTGGACTATCTCGGGATTCATCATCGTTCAGGATGTCGGATGAGGACTACGAGCCCACTCATTCCGAAGCGTGCAGGCTCCTCCGGCGAAGGCATCTGGATTATCAAGCTCAAATCGGGGAACTACTGCAGCTTGGCTTTGGGAGGTTTGGAGTTTAGTTGCCACTAAATTGAACATCGGCATCCCCTCTTTTCAAGCCTACTTATGCGATGCCATACGTTAATCCTCCCAGTTGGCTAAAGGCAAGAACTTCGGTGATCGTCTCTGCTCCGACGATGAGGTCCTCGAAATGATGGAGGTGGATATCGTTTGATTGTTTTGGGCCTGAGGTTGGGTGTAGGCTTTAATGTAGGGGATGCCAGGTGGACGGTTCAAGAGTTCGAAGTAAACGTTCAATACCCGGTTACCGCGCGCCACGAGGCCCGCTGCACGTCTGAAAAGCACTGGGTGCGAGAATCGGCGCATACCTTCAAGCACCGTAAGAGAAACCCTTCATAGTGCTTGCAGGCTCAGCATGGAGCTTTGTCCGGAAGCCATTTCCAAAATAGTGCCTGCCTAGAGCAGCCATAAGTTCTGGACTCGGAAAGCGCGCCTTGCCCTGAAACAGCAGGCCTGCGACAATCACTCTGAGACCCACACGGTGGCCGCCACTCCACTCGAGAGAACACAAGAGGGTTCCGGGTACATGTGCTCCTGTGCTGTGCACTACTGTAGTGTTTGTGTGTGTGTGTGTGTGTGTGTTTGTGTGTGTGTGTGTGTTTGTGTGTGTGTGTGTGTGTGTGTTTTGTGGCTTGAAACTCGTGCAGCTGCATTCGAGCGTGCGCTTCTCAGCGTATGTACAGCATTGGGGATCAAGAGCGCAGAGTTTGAAGGTGTCGGAGCTCCAGGGGATCGTGGAGTTTATCAACTTGACAGCTTCACCCCCATGCCCCGCACTCAGGAGTTCGTTGAGTTTTGCGTCAACGGCCGGAACGAGAAGTCGGGCAAATGGGCTCCCGGACTCTGTTAGCGATGTTTCAGAGTGATTGCGGTTGAACAGTTCGGACCGAAGGCGCACTGAACAGATCAGGCCTATTTGCGGACTTTAACGTGTAGGCGGCTCCCTTTTCTGGGGCTAGCATGAAGACAGTTTGGGGTTTAGGGTGTTGGCGGGCCTCGTTCAAGCTCAAGAACACGGGCCCGAAGCTTACCCAGCTTCAATTCAAGCATGAAGCACTTGGGTGTTGTCCACCCGAATGGCATCGATAAGCAAACTATGAGTAAAGGCGATATGTCAATATGGCTGACTATGATGAGCCATCAACAATCATCAAACCACCGAATCCTTTATCAGAAACCGGATCCACATTGCCAAGGACACCATTGGAACTGGCAAGTACCTGGAGGGCGGCAAGGCCTGCTCGTGGCATTGAAAGATACTTTAGTGATGTAGGGCTTCGGCAGTGCTTAGGCTTCCGAAGCACTGGGTGGTTTGGGCTTCTCCATCGGTTCTTGCAAATCGCAAGTCTTGTGGTGTGCAAGGGGCCGAACAACGAGTTCAGGGTTGTGAAGAACGAGACTACGCGTTCACCAACTGTCTAAGTGCTTGTGGAACGACAGCAGCAAGAGCCCATGTATATCTTGTCTTAGAGCAGCCAGGTTCGTGACCTTGACCTCGAGGCCATTTGTGGTTTTCAACCCTCCAGCTCACCCAATTTGGGGAACACTTTTGTAAGTGCGTGAACCGCCGAACCTAATCCAGTTCCCTAACGTCTGCGAAAACCTGCAAGAGCTGCAAGAACCTTCTTGGTCAGGAGATCCAACCAATTTCGGGCCGAGGCCATGAAACTAATGGACTTCCGACCATGTGCCCCCGTCCAGGCAGCTGGTGGCCAGCTCGTGGACCAGCGCTTCTGCCCGCGTATTGTGGAAGGCCCAGTCAGAGTGGACGGTCGGGGATGATGAGAGGAATTGCAGCGAGGTTCGTTGTCGCAGGTACGTGTCGGGATGATGAAGAAGTTTGCGCAAATTCAACTTCTCAGCCCTGTAACCCGCTTCGCTCGATCCTGAACCGGAAGCGCATCAGAGAAGCGCCGGAAGCTCAAACTGATGGTGAAGTTGGCCGTGCAGGTGAGGTGCGCATGAACATGTCCCTGGGCGTTCAACCATTTAATGCGGGCTACTTTGGGCGCCGCTTCAAATGCTCCTTCCGGATGAGAGTTGTGGCCTCAAGGCCTTCGGTGCCTCAATTAGGGATATTCTGCTTCGTGACGGTCCATGGTTGGGGACTTTGCGGCTGACTTGTTGGAATCCTCTCCCACAACTCTTCGGCACCCAACGGCTCCATATTCAAATTCCTACATGTTATGTTATTGTTTAGGCTCCGACTGCACGCTTTCAGATCCAGAAATCTGACGAATCGGCCCAAGGATCGGTGACACCTGCACAGGCATTATCCACAAGAAGCCCAAGGCCTGCGATATCAGAGCCTGGGGGCAACTTGATCGGCCAAGCCTGGATACTTAGAGCACGGTGGTGGCACTCAGCCAGATGATCCCCTGAACCGGACGTACTCGTATGGCTTGGAGTGTTTTCAGTCAGCTGGAAATCCGCCAACCTCAATTGGAATGCCGCAGCCTAGGCCTAGGCCTTAACTTCAGACAGAAATCCATGCAGCCTGAGGCCCTCGAGCCAAACCTCAAACCCAGCCCGGAAGCCCCCGAAGGCAGGTGGCATCTCTGCGGTCGGAGGGACCGGCTCTACGCACCTCGCCAAAGGTCCTTAGTAGGCTCCCTAATATCTGCATTGCTGACCCCTACTACAGGTTTGAAACAGAGGGCTGGATGGCGGTATACCCAATTCCTAACTAAGAGTCCGAAGAGGCTGATGTCCCGCGTCTTAGCTAGGAGCAGCCGCGCTCACAAGGATTGAAGCTGCACTCGATCTTCGGGCTCATCGAGGGTTTGGCTCTGGTGCTTTTTTACGCGAGCTTCCAACATGCCTGAGATTCATGCTTCAAGGCTTGATGCATGTTGAGCTCTCTCGCCATGTTGCAGTGGGGTGATCATGAACTTCAAGAACCAGCAACACAAGTCCCAACCCCTCAAACCCTCAACTGTGAAGTCCCAGACCTCAGTCTCTAAAGCCTGACACCTTTACCCCGCAACTTTTCATGGAATCCTTCAGCTCCCCCGAGCCCTGAGCTCTACCAGCTAAAGTGTCCTCTAATTTAACCATGAAGCCCCTGGAGCCAGAGGTACACCTTCTACACGCCGGATGCCCCCGAGTTCAAGCAGCTCTCTGAGGACCTGTTCTCAATTGCGCGGGAATGGAGATGTGAGGGCAAGGATTTTGCCTCGGCCTAGGGTTTAGGAAAAGCAATGGAGCCTGCATACTGAGCCTGCAAGTGTCTCTGCTAGAGGCTGACAATGTAAACGCCCAAGTTTAGGGATTAGGCTTGAATCCCAGAAGCCAGGACCCAAGCACCTGAGACCCAAATCCTGGAAGCCAGGATTTCCTGAAGACCTCCATCCCGACCCTGATGCAGAGCCTCGAGCTGCCCAGCGACCGGACAGCCTGAGCGGGCTTCAGATTTTAGGATTTGGGTTGTCAAGTGCGGAACCCTCTGGGCGCAGCCCTGCAGCCATCGGTGAGGACATCTTTTTGACCATGTCTCGCAGCACGAGCTGCGAGCTTCTTCAAAGGGAGCTTCATAGCTGTCGTCTCTGTTCCCTGTTCCCTTTCATATCCGATCTCTAGCGCCTTGTTTGGGGAACAATGGCCCCCAAGCCCTGAAAGCGCGTAGGGGAACCTGTCAACCCTAAAAAGCAGACCGAGCAGACCGGACTCATAAACTCGTTCATCGCGAAGCCAAACCCCGGCGAGGGAGGCCGAACTCCAATCCCACAGTTTGGGGATCCAAGCCCCCACCAAGATCCCGCAGGGCCCTCAGACTCATGAGGCTTCTTTCGATTGGAGTGTGAGGATAGGGCCTGCGAGCCTTCAGGCTTGACCTGAAGTCTCAAGAATGCGCAAAACCGATCACTCCTCAGGGCTTTGGGGCTTTAGGGTTTTAGGGTTCTAGTTTTCTGGGGCCCTTACATCAGAGCCGCCAAGGTGAGCCCCTACCGCTTTGGTGGACGGCGGATTTCATCAATGCGGACCCAGGTCGCTGGTCAATGATGCGACTCCGTCAGATTCATAGAAAGCTTCAGCCGAGGCTTCAGATGGCAAAGGTAGGGCGTCTTGCGGCTGATTAAGCTCGATGCCTTGGGGACAGCACGAACAATCATCCTTCGATGCTTTGGGCATCGTTCATGATCGAATCTGTTGACACCCGGCAGGCAAGCCTGGAACACCCTGCACCATCGACAAGTGGATCGTGGGAGAATTCAACTGCTCTTGCGTCGGCATCTCGAAGTGCCTCCCTGCCTACTGCAAGGCCCTATGGCATGGGGTGGGGGTACAGGGGCTATCACAGAAGTGGAAGGGCTGAAAGCAGCTTCAATGTGCATGCTTTATCATTCGCCATCATACTTGAACAGCATGTGGCTGTTAGCTTCGAGAGATCGCTCGATGACAAAGGTCCTGGCAGCTTTTGCACAAGAGTCCTTGCGCCTCATTACTTCAAGCCTTGTCCTTGTTCGCCTACTCTAAGCATCCTTCGCGTGAAAGCTCCCAATCACTGCCTTCAGGCTGACACTCCCAATGCAAGTTTTTTTGACATCCCCGTCAAAGACCTCATGGAGGTGCAGGGCACTTGCAAGGGTCAGTGGCGTTTGGCAGAAGTCTGCCGAGCATTGCTCTAGGCTAGAGTCTTGGGAGCAGTGCTGTGCATGAATGTCATGGTTAGCGCGAAGTTCTGAATTCTATGCCGACTTTAGACCAGTACGCTTTACGATTATTGTTTACAGTACTGCCCTATGCCAAACCTTCGGGCGACGAAGCATTGGCAGTTCTTTGCTCACGACTGCCGTCTCAGGGCTAAAGCACCCCTATGCATATGATTCGAAAAGCAGTCGGCCGAATTCCCAAAAGGAAAGCTCATCGCCTTGAGTTGAACCCACACAACCTGCAGAGGCCACCTACCTCGGCAACATGATGGGGCAGAAGGCCCTGGAAATCCTCGACAGCCAAGGCCTGGGAGGGGCTGAAAGTAAGGTTGCCCAAAGCTGATTTGCTTTGGTAGTTTCAAGATAGCAGGGGATTGTGGTAGGAAGTACCCCCCAAGGTGAGCCAAAACTCACTCCCGCACTTCAACAGTTTCGGCCTCAGGGCCCCGAGTTTTATTTCAATGACGACGGCTGGAGTTCCCAAAGCCTCAAAGCCTCGAACACACGACCACTTCAAAAATGCAGATTGCAGGTGCCAAGCTCTCTCCCGGGGCGGCCAAAGTCTTGACGCGGATCGAGGTCCATTTGAATCATTTGACTCTTCTCGAACAGTGTGTTCGGGGATTAGTTGGGGTGACGGCACTGGAACGGTTCGGGGGGCTTGAGGATGTCGGGGTTTCTGGGGGAACGCAGCACTGAAAGCATCTGAGCACCTGCAATCTCGGAGCCCAAGCATGTTCAAGGCGCTGCGGGGCGCGGCCAAAGCCGGCGTGCTCAGCAGCGAGGAAGCAGGCTGGAAGTGCTTTCAACGACTCAACAGACTTCCGATAACAGTTCCACAGCCAGTACCAAGCAGTGTCCCTGCAGATTTAGACGAACTGTTCAGTTGGCATGACCATCACACTTCTTGTCAGTTCTTGTCACATAAAGAGCTAATGTTATGTTTTTTTTTTTTTTTCTGTGTGTGTGTGTGTGTCTGTGTCTGTTTGTCTGTTAACTGGCCCATGTAGCATTCTGACGGTGGCTTGAGTTCCAGAGCTGATTCGTTTTAGGTCCAGAATTTCGTACTAAGGGCCAACAGCCAGACTCCTGAATCCGGGAGTGGTGGTCACGTGCTCCGTATCGCAAATCCATCCGTCGAGGCAGCATGCTGGATAAGCTCTTTGATGTCTGAGACGATTCTTGCACATGGTGATTTCTGAGCTCGGGATCCTGAATAAGAGACTCCCGGAAGAGAAGCCCCGGGGAGAGGAGCAAATCACTTCAGAGGCTTTTGAAATGGACCCCGAGCCCGGCAAAGGTCAAAGGGCCAGGAGGAGATCCTGGTCTCCTCACCTGGAGCCTGCTTGCGGGTGGTCCCGACAATTCAGAGCAGCCGTACATCCCACAAAACACACCAAAACACCATCACACGCCTCTGCGACCCTCGCAGTTACCTTGAAGCCGAGAAACCGCAGCCTGAATTCGCCACCTGCAAGTAGCTTCTATCGTTTGCTTTTGAAGTAGCGCTGCCGCTTAGAAGACGGTGGAAGCGTGTTCATCGATTCTCAATATCAATATCTTTAGAAGGGCCATGAATTGAGTCCAGTGCGTGGACGCTCTACAACGAATGTTGAGCTTTTCGAGCCTTTCCAAATCCTGACGGCCCATCAGCGACAGACAGAAAAGAGGAGTGTTGGTTTATTTTTTCCCTGGAAACGAGCTCATGTCTTCAATGCGAGCCCAGGGAGCCCTGAAGCCACAAAATGCTGACTGGGTGCGAGCCTTGGTGCCCAAATTCGTGCTCAGCCTCCGAGGGTTGAGTTCGGATTGCCCCCCCCCCCCATCTTTGAAGAGTCAGCCTGAAGCAAGCCAGGCATTATGGCATTCCTTGCAATTTTATCATCCGCCCGGGCATCTGGCTCAAAGGCCAAGCCAGGTCGGGTTCGCAGATCTGAGGACCGGCATCGAATGCCTGGGCAACATAAGTTACCCACTGCAATCTCTAGTTACTCCAGTTGCACCTACCGGACCTACCGTTTGCGTTTCCCACTTTTGCAACCCCCTGCTTATGACAAGCCGGCCTGGGAATGAATGGAACGTCGAAAGGACTTGCAGCTTCCATGCCACGCTCCAAGCACCTAGACCCAACTCCAAACATGTCCGACATCCAAAACTTCATTTTCCACCGACGCCATGTTGGCGCTTGAGTGGTATCCTCACACGCCGAGCACTTTGAGTTTGGTGTGGCAGCGGGTTCGAGGGACTTTAGAGTCCTAGACGTGTGAGATTCGCGTGGGGCTTCTCAGAGCACAGGTATGCAGAACCCATGTTCTGATGAGGCTTGGATACCTAGGAAAGGGAGCAGCTGGGGTGCCCATGTCATGTTGTGCAGCAGACAATGATTCCGACGCTTGAAGCAAGTCTCCCGGCTGAGAGGTCCTAGCTAGGCCAGCTAAACTCTGCGAGCTCAAGTCTTTTGCGGTCATGTCATAGATCCTTGATGGACCTGGAAGCGAAGCATTACTTCCCCAGCTGACGAGCAAAAGGACGCTCGAGCTTACAGAAAGCCAGAATCACAAAGATCCCCATATTTGGTTGTTTAAAATTGGAGGATGGTTAATGTGTGCGAATGTCCTCAACGTCATGTTATGCTCATCTTCAACAAATCTGACAGCAGCCGATGTGCAACCACCAGGCCCCTGCCGGATGCCCTGCCAGAGCAGGACTGGGCCCCGCCCCAAACTCATCCTTTGCACCTTAACAAAGGGGAGTGGTGTTGAGGAATGCATCTCGTTCAGTGGACACTCTTCGTCTGAATGAATTGGTGTGGTGAGGTAATCTGTGCTCGAAAAGTAACTCTGAAGCTTGACCCTGCAGACTTTCCATAGAAGTTTTTATTACAAGAGTCTCAGGTTGACGTAAATTCTGCCTAGGCATCTTCTGCATCCTGATTCTCCTTTCTAGGGATGCGATTTTGTGTTAGTTGAGAACTGGCTGCTGCGGAGCAAGAGTGCTACTAATGACTCCGGAGAACCCTTCCTGAATACTTTTTCTAGCCCTTGGTACCGTACATAAAGCTTCAGAATCTAAATCTATGTAGGCCATTGCCTTTATGTCCAAGCAAAAGGCGTCTAGGATGAGGTTTCTTGGATCGACGCTGTCTCAGACAAACCCTCCATATCCGCACCCTAATCAGCTTCTGAAGCCCCAAAGCAATGCAGAGGTTGATGCAGGTAAGTGTTTACATAGTGAGGTTCAGACTGTGCCAGGACCATAGATCGTCTGACATGCGAAAGGTATACTTTTGTTAAGGCACCAGTGAGAAATCTTGCTTAGAATTCGAGGCCTTAAACCCAAGGCAGGGGGGTCCAAGCCGGAACACTCTTTCGCAGCCACGACCGGCGACGCCGACGGAGCTGTCCCGGCGGCTGACGGCGGTCTTCGATGCAGGACAGCACTCGAAGGCTGTGAGTTTGCTGTGTCGCCGAACTCCCTACTGGTAACAGATTCAGCGCATGGCTTTGTTGGTTTTGTCCGACGGTTCCCACAGCCATGATGTCGCGAAGCTGAGAATCAGCCCTGTATAACCTTATCGGACGTAGTACTGAGTACTTTTTCTTCCTGGTGAGGTCCCCAAGTTTGCATTACCGACATCCTTCAGCCAAGCAGGAGAACATGCCGATGTGCAGTTTTTCGCGGGCGTTTCGCAGGATCCTCAGGAGCAGCTGATTGCACCTAAATGATTTTGGAACTGGATTTTGAAGCCTCGTTGACGGATGCGTCACAGGGCCTCCAACACCGTTTGTAATTCAAGCCTCGTTGAAGCCTGCCTCAAGCTGAGATACGTTACACGGCCTCCCATGGCGTCCCAGTATTGTTGATTCTCATCTGAGGCCTGGTTAAGGCTGGCGTCAGATTAATCATGCAACCTCGCTTTCTGCATAAGTAGTGACGTCAGTCATGCAGCTGCGTGAAGAGATTCACCTCCGGTGGCAGCGTGTGCAAGTTTCGGGTTGAGTGCCGTATGGACGGTCTTGAGAGATCAATCTTGCATGACTGCACACCCTGAAGACGAAAGCACCAGAGTCCTAAACCTGCGTATGTAAGGAGTCGAGTCTATGAGTCCACCAGAGAGCTTTCATCGCAAGATGCGATACACCGGCAAGAATCTTCAGCTTGCAGTTCCAGGGCTCATTAGTTAAATTTAGGTTATTAGGGCCGGGATAGTCAGCTTGAAGTCCTCAGCTTTTGCAACACTTGCTATCCGAAACGCCACCCGGTCGACCAAAACCGAGGCAGACGGAATCGATCTGGGCACATCGGTTGGTGCGCCCATAGTTTTGGGATGTAAGGTTGTGTTGAAAGTCATGTGTTCAAGACCCAGGCTCGTGAGCAGGGCTGTTGGGATCCGAAGCCTTCGCACTAGATTGCTCTCCAGGTCGGCTTTGCAAGAGTTTGCAGTCCTTCGGCTTGTCCTGCAGCATTTGAGGTATTTGAGATCAAATCGTAGTCTTGATCCTGCATGAGTCGGGCTGCTTTTGGATGTAAGGCAACGAAAAGGGGGAAGGTTTAATGCTTGCTTTTCGGCTGAGGGTTCGCAGTTCCTGTCTGTCTCTGTAAACTACAGGGCTCTTGAGCTTTCAACCTAACTGCTCTCGGAATCAATGCTACCGAATTCGGGTTCATGTTTCTCGAGGGTTCATGGCTCTGTGTTGGGGATTTAGATCGTGGTCGAGTTGTGTCGAGCTGCCCTGTACCCTAAGCCTGAATCTTCAATCCCAAGCAGACTCAGAAGTATCTGAACCAACCCTTCCGGCTGCGAGCTCTTCAGCCCGAAAAACCCCGAAGGCCCTCCTCAACCACTCCAGCCGCAGCCCCAACACAAGCAGTCTACTGCAGGTTCTCCGTCGCAACCCTTCCCTCGGGTTCGAGCGCGACACCGCGCCGGCCCAGAGCCGAGAGGTTTCTTGGTATCCTTTGCTTTCAGGCTCCGCAGGCCCTAAGGCTTTCTTAGAGTTCAGGCTGTTGGGGCTTGGGGGGTTATTGACGGTCTGAGTCATGGAGGGTGTGTCGGTAAAGCGCAAGGATTTGGGTTTTTGGATTTCGGGCTTCAGACGCGAGACTTGCTACACTGTGGCATGTGGGACGAGCGTATCTTGACGTCAATGGACCTCGAACCCTGCTTCGCGCTGCTCTGGTGCTGTGATGATGCAGCCAGCCACCCTGGTTGCCCATTGTTGCCGATCTCTTGTTGAGGCTGATATGATCCTGCCTCCGCACGTGTCGCCTGAGATCCTCCGGTGTCGCCCTTGGGGGCTGGTCTGTGGCCAGAAACAGAAATAAGTAGCAGATTGGCTCTTGCGGTTGGATATTTTGCACACTGTGCTTAGTGGTTGGGGCTGTGTTGAAGATGCCGCGGAAACGCGTTCCAGCACGACCATTGCTCGCCTAACCGGCAACAGCAAGGAAATGCTGAGACACTTGAGTGAGAAAAGGGCAGTTTTACTCTCGTCCCAAGTCCTGAGGTCCAACGTCAGAGTAAGCAGGCTCTGCGAGGCTCCATTGCGTTTACTGCTGACAAATTTAACCTTTGGCGAGTCGCCAGGCGTAGTCGAGGCTTAGGGCATAACGCGAGGTGTCTGCGGTTGGGATTCAGCGGATAAACTTTGATCAAGTAGCAGGTTTAGCCACATGGTTTAGCCTTTGGCATGACCATGAACTTTGTGTCCGAACAACTGAGTTTTTGAAAACTGCCGCTGCCTGTAATGCTAGGCTGGTGCTTCGCGCTCACTACCTCGAGGCTCCTCAGTGTTCATGATTCCCAGGCTTTTGGAGAGTTTGCTTTGGGGATAAGGTCTGCATAGGATTTGCAATTATTTGCCGGAACGTGGCTTCTTACTGTGATGGCTTGGAGCTACGGGACTTCAACACACTCATGTCACCATAAACTGCCAGAACTGTTGAGGTCTCTCTGAGGCCCGAGCCTTATGAATTCAACCCTCTGAGACGAGGCGTTTCAGGTCCGGAGCACTCGACCTCTGCCGTGTTCTGGCAGGTGGAGAGCGACCCGGGCTCCCCGCACGTCGCCCCATGGGCCGCATTGCAGGAGGCGGGGCCTAATCATCCCCCAGAGCTTTAGCCTTCAATGGAGTTGGGAGCGTTATGATTTGCAGGATAAAGAAGATCTTGATTCTAGAAGTAAACTCTTTTTTTGTCTAGTATAACTGACTGTGGGGAAGCCGCTTTCCAAGAGCCTGAGCCCAATGCAGCCAAGCTTCTGCAATGGGAAAGCCCAACTGCGAGCTGCCCGAGACCGGAAGCCCAAGTTTCCAGAGGTGTGAAGGTCTTGAGTGCTCCGCGTGGCAAGCAGTGGATAAGAACTAGAGACCCTAGCATTCATGATCCCCTCACGCCTTGCACATCCGCAAGGCCTATGCGTCTTGTGGACAGCTGTCCAACAAACCCATACTACACTGTAGTATCGGTTTGCCAAGATGTTTCGAGAACATCGCCTCGAGGCCCGGCGGGAGGCGACCGCGCAGGAGTGGACCAGCCTGGAGGACCGGGGGGTCAACAGCTTGAGGTCTCAGGTCTCCATCTTCCCTCACATGAAATTGGGGCGCAGGAGCCTGGTTTTGCTGCATACAACGTTTTCGATGTCCTAGCCCGTCTAGCCTGGCAACTTGTCTTATTTGTTTAAAGTTGCAACATCAGGAGCCTCAACCTTGCCCACCCAAGCTCGGAAAGAAGCCTGCGCATGAGCGAGGCCATGTTCGGGCCGCTTGATGCCGAAACCTGGGCGCCATTGAAGGTCCCGACCATGTTATGGATGACTTTGCTTTCGAGCCGAACCTCAAACTCCTCGTGCACTCCTAAAGTCCTATACAGCCGTGTTGTCTCCACACGAAAGGCAGCTGTGCACACCTCGCTCTTCGCTGACGTTGCGTTAGAACTCAGCGGCGGCTTCAAGGCGGCTCCATGAAGCTGAGTGTCTGTCAAGTCGAACCCACGAAGTATCTGGAATGTGAGAGGCTCTCTCTGTTCGCGGGGACTCTGGCATTGTGCCTGTGAGTCGTGTTTCTATGCCCATCATGCCCGTGTGTCTGCAGCCTTTTCACCGAAGCCACATGAGTGACACCTGTCACAACGACTCGAACTCCAAGCCAGAAGCCACGCTCGTCTCCTGGAGTTTCACTTTGGCCACCCGTAAGCATGACGAAACTCCTAAGCACGCCGACTGCGGCCTGAACATCCGAAAGCTTTCGCTTTAGGCTCACCTACCTTCATGCACCAATGCATGGGCCATGCTCGAGACATTCTTGGCACGGTACCTGGGCCGGTTTCTGAAGGCGCGCGTCCAAAAAGGAACGATATTGGTCCAGAGTTCAGAATTTCTGGATTCTTCAGCACGTACCCCTTGCCCTAAACCCTAAACCAAAGGTGTGGAGCTTATAAAACCCTACCCACCAGAAGCCATAAACTCCCAAATAGCCTGATCGTAAATCCGAAGCCCTAAAGCCGAAATCTTCAAAAGCTCAAATTTGGGCTGCTTGAAGCCTGATTCAGACCTCAGAAACCAGCGCTGCCCTGGCCGGTGAAATTCCACAGGTGTTTTGTCTGTGGCCGGAGCTCCAACTCTGAACAAGTCTGTCGAGTCTTTACTTCATAGAGCTCTTGGGGTTTTATCCTACTTTTTGGAAATTACTTTGAGGGCACCCAAACCCCCAACCAGTTTCATAGCTCCTCTGCATCGCGCGGTCTGCGGAACCTACACAGTATATATATATATATACATGTGTGTGTGTGTGTATATATATATATATATTTATGATCCCGGTTCGGGCGTGCCCCCCCTTTCCCCCCTCAATGGTTCCCCCCCGCCCCCTGTGTTGTGCTGTGGGTGGTTGTGGGTTGCTTCCCTCCTCCCTGCGGTTCGGGATTGGCTCTGCTTGCAGTGGTTGCCCCCGCCCCAATGGTTTCCCCGCCCTGTGGTGTGGCGTGGCGTGGTTGTGGGTTGCTTCCCCCCTCTCTGTGGAAAGTGTGGTTTGCGAGGGGGGGCGGGGGCGGACGGATACCATCGGGGGGCGGGGGGGTGGGTGAACCGAGAACCGGGATCATACACATATATATATATATATATCTATATATATATATACACATGTGTATATATATATATATATGTATATGTATAATTGTGTATAATATATATATATATATGTACACAGACACAAGATCCCACAAGAGGCCCAAGTGACAACAGACAGAGCTGGAAGCCCGATCACGGACCCTGAATCTGAACCTGAGGAGCCCTCTTAAACATTAACTGCCCAAACTCCAAACTGCGTCATGGGCAGGGCTTCTCTCCTGAACAGATCTCCGCGCGGTTGTTGTCTGGGTCCGTGCGGCTCAAGGAGTTGTGTTGGATTGGGGTATTGACGATGTTTGGGGTTTAGGGATGAGGGGTGTAAGGTTGTTTTTATAATAGTTTGACGATTCAACGTCACCGGTCAGCTTTGCAACATGTGCTCCAGGTGCCGTGACAGAGCTGTCGAACACCGGAAATGCTTCCCACCCTGACCCTCTTTAGTCCCACAAGCAGAGTCGAGGATGCAACCCAAAGCCGGAACTGTCAGGAGATAGAGCTCGACTTGGATGCCATCCATGAGCTGCTGGTCGCGCAGCTGCCAGCCACCCTTGAGCTCCGGAGGGTGAGGCAAGTATGTCTAGGGACTCTGAATTGTAGGATGCAGGACTGATTTTGGTCTCGGGCTTAAGTGGTAGGGTTTGCAGCGCAGGGTTTCAGGTTTGGTGTGGTCGTTATGAGCTTCAGGAGGTGAGGGTCAGGGCAAAAGGGCTTCAGGATTGGAGTGCCCAACTTGTGATGCAGATCTTGAAAACCCTTGCATTGCCTTTCTTTGCACAAGCACATAGTGTCTCAACCATCGCATTCGCTCTGACTCTCGCATGTGTTGTTGTAAAGCTCGTGCTGATTCTACAGTGCCCTGTTTGACGTGCTCCGTACGTGCTGATTTCTTGGCCTGGTATCTAGGAAAGCCTTCAGTCTCAGCACGAAATGCTCACGCTGTATTCAACGTCGTTCAAACTATCTTAATTTTAGAACCTCGTTTCCGAGCTTTCTGGTTTTGTTGCTTTTCTGGTGTCCCTCTTTCCTCCTAGCGACCCTCATGCTGACTCGGTTTGGTCGGGTCTATCGTATAGATGCATGGGTAAGACCTATAGTCCTGAGAATTGTAGGCAGACTCGCGCCGAGAGGGCGAGCGGAAAAAAGAGAATTCTGAACCCTGTGCCTGTGTGCTCTTGTGCCGAAGTTTTCACCCGCGAAAAGGTGCGAAGCCATCTACCTCAAAGTCCCTTGGAAGCGGCTCCGACGGAAGCCCGTGTTCCTGGAGCCGCCTAGGGCGAGACCGGTTTGGGACGAAAAGCCCAGAGCTTCGATGCTTTCAGGATGCGGTTCTCGGAGCCTTGTCGGGCTTGTTGTGGAAGGCTGAGTGTTGTGCGCATACCTGGAGTGCGACAAGTCTCCGTCTAAAAGTTTCCGGAAGAAGCTACAGAGTGCCGGTATCCAGTCTGACCTAAGGCCGTTTGAGTCGTCGTTCCATCAGTGCCAGAAACCGAACCAGTACTGCGAAGCCACGGACTCCAAGCAGGAGCTATCGGACGTCTGCGTCGAGGTGAAGGTCACTTTGGCTTTTGAAGACTTGGGATAGCCGGATCTACGTCCTCGCATTTTGTGAAAATTGAAAGGGGCTTGTGTGCCCAATCACATGACGGGCTTTCGGGGTTCAGCTCGATTTGAGCAGCTGCTGTCTCAAGATACACACTTCTCGATTGGGCACAGAGTGCATCTATGAGAGGATATAGTTTCCAATAGTGTGGGCTGCCGACTTCAGCCGTGTCAAGGTGCACAGCGCGACGCCGGAGCGGTTGGAAGCCCAGGTACGGAATTCGATGTTTGGAGTCACATGCAGTCAGTGGGTGAACTTAATGCAGCGTAGTTGAGGCAGGGTATTTGGGCGTCTTGTGGGATCAAGCTTATTGATTCTCATGCCGAGGTGACGCTCACAAGCCTTCACACTCCAAATCAAGACCTCAAAGCCTGGATTCGGTGTCTATGCAAGTCGCCCTGGCCATGCAACGTATGCTGGATCCAGTTGAATGCAAACTTTCCAGATCGGCAGCAAGATGTAATTGGCCGGTGAGGCAGAGCGACAAGCCAAAAGCTTACCGGAGAAGAGCGAGCTTGCTGTTGAGGAGGAGATCCCTTGTCTGAGGGTTTGGAGTTTAATTCCAGCAGGATGCGGTATTGTAATTTGGGCTCCCAGTGTTGATGCTTGGGATTCTGAAGTACTGAGTTTGGACAATGGATCCACTGGTAAGTGTAGGGGTTTCATGGGGTTTCATTCGGTGTGAGGATGTCGAGCAAAGTAGGCTTCGGAATGGATGATGTTGGGATAAGACGTATCCGGGATGCTGTGCTGGAACTGGGTTTGATGTCCTAGATAGGGGTCAGGCGAACAAGGAAGAAACGTCGGAAGGGTTTAGAGCAAAAGTTTAGGGTTTTCTGCTTCGGGTCTGCTTCCGCAAGGTTCAATGCCAAACCTTGGGAAGTAACGTGTCGTCCGAACTTCTTCCATGCCCATGGCCCAACGTATCAGCACCGCCTCCTCCCAAATCTGCCACCAATCCCGAAGCAGGAGGACGATGAGGAGGATCTGCGAAAGAGCGTGGAGTCACAGCTGAAGGTGGGCCTGAAAGAGGCCCGCCGGTCCGAAAGGTTTTGACTGCCGTAACAGCACGCAGAGCCTGACGTCCTTCCGTTTTGGGCTTGGTGTCAAGAGTTTGCCAGAGGTTTGCAGAAGGATTCTGCTGCATGCTGAACATAGCTCCAAAGAAAAGTGTCCACATGATTGAGTACTTCAAGTAGGGATGTCTAGCCCCCAGTCAAGCCTGCAAGATACGAGAAATCACGATGACCAAAGCGAACGCCTTTGCTCGTTCTCTCGCGAGTTTTCGAGGCTTCTTGTAACATCAGGTAAATCTAAACTCTTCTGCCACAGGCACAGGCGCTGAGACTTTTCATTGCAGAAAGACTAGGTGCACCGAACACGTGACATTACGACTCCACTTTTTCCATCTGGGATTCAAGCGCCCAGCCCAGAAACCACGTGTTTCACTTTCCGGTTTGAGACCTCTCATATGTTGTGGTGATGAAGCCCTGAAGCAGTGCAGTGCAAAGGCCGTCTTGAACGCTGATCAGCAATCTTGTGTCGACTGCAGGTGATCGCGGATGGCGTTCAGGTAGTTGTGAACGGCCTGCGGCTGCGGCTGTGGCCCCCGCATCCCGAGGAACTGGGTCGGTTCGAGGTCAAGTTCGGGATTTTTCAGGTTTCCAGAGCTACACTCGTTTCTGCACAGATCCCTTTGCAGGTCTAGCATGGTCAAGTCTCATTCAGAACAAGGAAGACTGCTGGTGCCCCTGAAGGCAGCCCGCATATAGCCTTGATACCGCCTGCAGGAAGTAAGTTCTGGTGGGTTTACATGGCAACGTATTGCTCGCAACGTATTGCTAAGTATTGCGACTGCAGTTCTCTTCGCAGGATGTCGAGTTTGTAGAGTTGGGGTCGGGGGAAGTGGGTGCGAGGTTCGATATTGCACTCTGACTTGAGGATGCACGAAAGACCCGCGAGCCTTGCTTTAAACTTTAAACACCATTCAATGAAGGTCCGGCAGTCGCTGGTTTTTCTCCCATCGCACTGTGGCTCCAGGACGAGACGCCGTCGTCTTTGCCACTGCTCTCGCTGAAGGTTGAGGCGGGATATGGCGGGCTTCTGTTGTTTGTTCAGGGTTCCTGCTATTGACAATTGATATACTATCGATTTGAGACATCGGGTCTATAGGGAGCTGGGGTTTAGCCGCAAAGTTTAGCCAAATCTTGCGTTGAGACTGACTAATCTTTAGCCCGGCCCGGTATGGGGGTCCTCCCAAGCCATGGTCCTTCAGGGTCTTCAGCAAACTCGACAAATGCGAAGCTTGGATTGAGCTCCGATCTCCATAGCGGTCTCCATCGGCTTATCCATGCTACTGCTGTTTCTTTTGGTGCCTTCCCAGATGACCTTGGCCCAGGCACCACGCAGACCAGGGATTTTGAGTTGCGATTCTTTGCTTTGAATTACCCTGCTACTGCTGTGAAGTTTCCCTCGCTTTGCCCACGATGCCAAAGCTTGGACTTCAGCTTTGGGCTTTTGGGCCTCTTCATTCAGCTCCTCGGCACGAGGATTTCCATCTCAGCTGCTCAACTCGCCAGATCCCACCAACGTAATATTGAAGCTCGAATATTCCGTGAGAATGGGAAAAGTGTAGAGCGACCAATACCTCTGCACAACCCCTCAAGTTTGCTGAACCTCAAAGCTTAAGCTGAAGGCCGCCTGGCCACAAAACTGGCACCAAGAGCCAACTCCGACGAATTGAACAGGGCTTCCAGACCTTCCCCTGCACCAGCGCTGGGGAGAAGATCGACTGTCCGCAGGCTCCCCAATGGCCGTGCCACTAGAAGTCACTGGAAGCCGTCTCCATCCAAGCTGTGCTGAGCTGGGATCTGAAGCGAAAACACATGCGTCAAAAGAAGCCCAAATCTAGCCCTTGACTGCTTCTCTCCTTGCAAACCTTGAAACCTGAAGCACGAACCCAAGCCCCAACGAACCCTTCGTCATGGTTTCGGGGCGGATGCTCTTGGTTTCGTGCCTTTGATCTGAGGTTGGGGGTGCGGTGCTCGGGGTTCGGCATTTACCTTTCGGGTCCATGGGTTTTGAGAGATGCAGCTCTGGTTTTGGTGCTGCTGCGCGCAGCTCAACTAGCAGGATGTTGAGCCCAATGTTGCACGTGGTCTTTCTTCAGCAAATCCCCCAATTTTTTTTTGCAGCTGAGGGCAGGTGCAAGTGAGCTCAGATGAACGAGCATGGTTTTGCTTGTGCGCTCAGCTTTCCAGTCATGTCACCGCTCTCGCTGCCTTCGCAGCCAACATGCAGATTATGCAATCAGAAGCGAGTCAAAGTCTTCACCTGTTCTTCCAAATGGCTTTCCCGAAGGACGTGCATGAGTTCTGCGACCCCTGTGCCAGACTTTTTCGAATGGCCGACGGCTCAGCGGTTTGGCACTGAAGTTTGTCAATCTCAAATTTGAAGTATTTTACGAAGTGCCAACACTGACATGTGGTAGTTCTTAGGCCGCAGTGTCAAGCAGCGCATCATGATTCCCAACCTGTCTTGATTATTTCAGCTCTTCCATGAGCATGTATTCTTCTCTGTCGAAGAAAAAGCTGCGATTTCACCTAGGTCTCTGTGCGAGGGCTTCGAATCGAAGCTCTTAGCCACCACAGCGCACGAGGCAGCCTTGCGCGGCTGTGTCGTGCAATCAAGTTAGTGAGGGGTTCTTTCCTGAGCGAGTGCATTACGCATCTGTATGATAGCAGGTGCAGGATTAAGTTGGTTGTTGAAGCCAGAGAACTACGCAACTCACGCATGAAGGTTCAGTATTGCTCCTCACCTTCTCTGGGCCATTTGAGCTTTGCTTTCGCCGAGTTCAGCCATGCAACAAGAGCTTAAGATGATCAAGACTGCAACGGAGACGGAACAATGGGCACTAATCAAGTTTTCAGAAAGAAACCTGTTCGTGAACGGCCAGTTTCATCTCTTTAGGCATGGCATGAGTCATTTCTCTGCAAAACATAGAGCAAGTTTGAGAGTGTGCAGATTCAGCCTTAATTTCATCACGGACACGAAAATGCAGATGATGACGTTTGGTCCAGGCAGTGTCAAGTTCAACAAGTGGCTGCCTACCAGCGCATACCAGGTCGAGTAACCGTTTCTCCGCTCGGACCAGGTGAACAAACGACTAATGCAAGCCACAGGAGTGCGAAGTCATTCGCGGCTTCTGCCCCATTCGGAGCACTGGGCCGCTCGTGGCCCTAGATTGAGTACAACATGGATGGGAAATTGTGGTAGAGCAGCCGCAAGTTGGTGAACGCACCACCCGCAGCTGAGCAAGTCCCAAAATGATAAAGTGGGAACTGTTTTCTCGCAGGATTCATTGGGTGCAATCCAATCGAAATCGCGATTACCGCACTGAAGCTGACATTCGAGAGTCTTTCAACATTGTTGTCTCGGGCCTATCGGGCGCAGGAAAGTCAGGTCGTTCGATCAACATGTTGTGCAACTTGGAAGTGGCCGTGTCCAGGGGAGTTTCCGAGTCTGTGACGCAGCGCATGACAATCATCCACGGAGTCGGGGCATTCAACCCGAATCCAGCCAACGTCAACATCCTAGGCACCATTGGCTTGTGCCATCTTGGGCGATACAATCAAGCCTAAGAAGAGCTGGACACTGGCATAAAGTATTACATCCGCACTAATATGAAATTGATCGACAAGGTAGTGGTCGTCTGTGAGGGTATGCTGCAACCTGCACACAAGGCCTGCGTGACGAGATGCTTTGAGTGGCTGGGTGCCTACGCTCGAACACAAACAATCTCGACTATTCCACAAGAGTTTCGTCTTTTGTGAACATTTGGTCAGAGCCAGGGTGGGCTTCGCCAGTGAAGATGAGCACTCGCTGTCTTCGAGCGTTCTTCCTACGTGCTACGTCCCGTGCGCGGGGTGCCTCCGACGATCAAATTAAGCTAAGCTCGTGGTTTGAGGATCGTGGATGCCACCTTCGTTGTTCCACGGTACAGGATCTCCGTGGACGTGGGATCAACGCAACATCTACTGCTGCAGAAAGAGCTCTTGACACTCTTGCAGCAGATGTTCAAATTAGCGATACCATGCAAAGAATATGCTGGCACTTGTCTGAGAAGCAAGTTCGTTCACTCAAAACGGCCACAGTCTTAACTGATGGGCACCTGCCACAAGAGCGTGCGGTTGCTTCGAGTTCCCCTATCATGCCGCGACTGACTTCTGGCTTCCGAGTCGGAATACTGCAAGGTCAATGCTGCGACACCTGAACAGTTCGCGGAGATTGTTGGACTTATCATGCGCGCGCAAGTATCTTCTTCGCGGGATTGTGTTCCGGTTGTGAAGAGCTCAGAATCAGAACCGAAAAGCTAGGCGGAATCAAAATGGAGACGTGCACGGCTACTTGCCGGGTTAGGCAGGACTCTGATTTCCTGATTACCAGACTGCTCGCATGCCAGGCGCTGTCGTGGTTCATGACGATTGTGGAGGTGATCTGCGGGTGTGCGTTGAGCAAAGGCCACCCCAAACCTCGCACATGCGGACAAGTACGCCTGGAGCCTTTAGAGCTGTGGGTCTTTGTGCTTCTGTGGCGACTGCGCAGTAGAGGTTACCGCTTGAGTTTTTTCGATCCACGTCGAACATGAGACTCGGCCAGACAGGAGTTGCAGGTGTGGTCTTCATGGAATAATTAGCTTATCCCTGGAATGCACGAGACATGTCGGGTGAAGCTCCAAGTCGTGACAAGTTCACATCCAGCTGCAGGTTGCAAGACCAGCCCAAATCTTTACCAGGACCAAGTTCCTCTCCAGCAGCACGCAAGCAACACAGATTTCTGCTTGCCCTTGTGCAGGCGATGGTGCGGCTTTATCCCGCAGCACCGCTCAAGGCGTGTTTGCCCTTTCAGTAGTTCCTTGGCATTTGCTATTGATTTCAAGACCAAGTGGATGCCGTAATATATTGGGCTTGGCACTAGGTTAGCCCTGGTTTAGAAAACTAAGTAGACTGATATGTGATAAGCCGACAAGCCCAAGGCCAGAATCCTTGGGGTCCTAAACCCAGATTCCAACACCTTGAAATAGAAGTAGCAAGAATAGTCCGAGTTATATAAGACCCGGCGGCAGCAGCAGCAGCAGCAGCAGCCAACAGTCACCAGAGGCCCAACACTAGTATGATGGCAACGATGGTCCTAGTTGCAACTGCTTGAACAACAGCAACAAACCCCAGCATTCAACCGAGGCGAGATGACCATCTCGGTGAAGCTCACGCATCTGTCACTGGCCGTCCCAGAGGCACCGCTGCTGGCAGTGTGCTCCGCCTCCTGGCCGGCCTTTTGGAGTCTACGCCACGCGGGGCTGTTCCAACGAATTGAGGGATCCATCGCAGGTACCTGATAATTATATTCGTGCAAGTACGTTTCAAGAAGGCAGAAATTAGGAACAGCACATATGAGATTAAGCAGCACGTGTTGTCATTCTGGTCTCTCGTACCGCCGATCCGTACCGCGCGGGGTTCAATCGGGACAAGAAGCTGACACAGATGGTATGACTTATGCTTCTGTGGACTGCCTTGACATTGAGGCGGTGATCGACTTGATAAAGGGCATTCCCAAAGCAGCTGCGGCGGAGGCTCAGATTTGTGTCTTTCGGCATGCCAATGAGCCAATGAGGATCATGGGTTCTCAAGTTCCGTGCGAAAGCTCATGAGAGGCTGTCGGGTTGACAGCCGGTGCATGTGATACGAAGTTTCCGGTACTTACAGGAGAAGTTCCTAAGCTGTATTATCCCGCATAGTTAATGATATTTCTTTGCAGTACAACTCCCTTTCCTGTGGAGGTGCCTGCAGATCTTCCACAAGTTGTGCCGTTCGGCTGTTCTGGAGATTTCAACGAGTGTGGGGGCTTAAGGTTTCAGGGGTGCAGGTTCAGGGAAGGGCAACCGATTCGGGAAGAGGGGTTTGAGTTAAGGATCTTGGAGTTCAGGGATTGGGGCTTCAACAGAGGGCAACAATTATTAGAACCGGGCTTCCGTGGCAGAATATACCATGGCTGCATGAAGCATACAGGGGAACGTCCATACCAGCCACGGAGGATGTCGCTTGCACTTGTTGGGATTGTCTTGGATGTGTTGTTTTGTAGGGTGACGGAGTTTATAGCCTGGGATCTACGAAGATTCAGGATTTGCCTGCCCAAATCGGCGCGCAACCTTGGAACACAAACCTATCAGTGTCAACATGTCGGAGTGCTCTTTGATCTGACATCCTCTCCAGCCTCTTCGAACCCCAAAGCCGCATAACCTGAACGTCTCCGAAAGCAAGGGCAGCTTCGACCACTTGGTCCGAGCCGGCACCAGGGCGTGCGGGAGCCGAAGGTAGCGGCATCCGTGGATGTTGTTCTCTTTTAGCATGGATTCAGTTGGGAATCCAGGCTTGCTCCTGCTTGTACTCGGAAAAAGGGTCCGAGAGTTGCTTATGTTGTGATTTTTTCGTTTGTTCCGCGACGACAAACACGAAGCGCTCAAAATTATGGGCTGGGGATCCAAGCACTGGGTGCAGGGTTAAACCCAGACGTGCTCTTCGGGTGTCGTTTGGCTTCAAAAGTTGGACATGATATTTTTCTCAGCAGTCCCTGGTACATACTGACGAACAGAGGTGACAATGAGTTTCCCGGTTCCCTGTGGTTCTCCGGCTCTCAGCTTCATCAGGCTTGGCCTGGCGAGAGCAGCTGGTGAGCAGACGCAGCTTGTTGAATTTCGCCGAAACACGACAAATCTCCGAGCATGTTGGGATCTTCTGTGCAGTATGGTTTCCGTTTGGGTCTTTGTGATCATAAATTGGGTTGCTTGAACCTGTATGGGAAAGGGAATCCAAAGTGAGAGAAACCCGGAAAGACAACAGTTCGCCAGACGCCTCCGAGCCTGATGAAGTCGCAGGACGTCTTGTACCAGTCGTACTAAACCCTCAACCGCCTGAAGCTGGGAATGTCACTGGAACCCTGGGATGCCCGCATTAAAGGAAAGCCCTAACATCCCCAGCACCGCGAAGTTTCCAGACTGGTGATGGCCGAGGACTGGTCAGCTTGGTCACCTTGCAGCTCACACTGACGCAGTGCGAGGTCTTGCATGCTGGGTGGGTGGTGGGGATGGGCTTGGAGTTTTAGGTCAGGAGCTTTGGATTCAGACCTTAGGGGCTTGAAGGGTACTGTGGTTAAAAGAATTTGACGATGTTGAGCTTGGAGCTGTTGCGTTGGTTCGGGGCTTTCGATTTGAGTGGCTTCTTTCGTGAGCATCCTAGGGCCGTGTCTTTAGATGTACCACTTTCCGTTGGGCATGAGTGAGCGTCGGATCCCGACGCTTTGGGCATTGCTTGGCCATCTTGTTCAGATCGTGTTTGCCAGCTAGAACTAAAACAGTTTCATGACATGGTCCTGGTCGGCAAACTTCCATCCGAAACTACTACTACATGTGGACCCAGAGGGTCAGCCTTGCCTGTATCAGAGCAGATCGACTCCGAACTTTTGGTTGTCTTTGACTCGGCGTCTGGACAAGACACGGATCGGAAGTCCTTATGCAAGCCGTGAAGGTTTGCGCCTTGTCCTTTCCGCCTGCCAGATGCTCACATACTCTGACTTTCCCCAGACTGAGAACCCAAAGTCGGACGTGTTTAAGGGCCTGCAGCATCAATGGCAGGCCACATTGATCCCCGAAGGCTCAGCTCATGCACTTCAAGTGCAGGCTGCCGCCACGCGTTTTGCAGGGCGCAGGGTATTTCAGGTGTTAGGAGGATCACAAGAATGGCCTGAGGACGATGTCGTATGTGGTTCGGTACATGGCCTTAGTGGAATTGACTTTCGAAATGATCTGGGCCAAGTTTTAGATGGACGAAATGGAGTCCACAATTACAAGTCATGCTTTTTTTCGGTCCGAGTCGTTTGGGAAGTTGGAACTAACACAATGTAGACTTAAACCGAGAACGGCTCAGTTCAACCTCAACAGAAATCCACAAGAGTTCTCAGTGTATTTGTTCATCACCTGTTCGCAGACCTTCCGTGGTAGGTGATGCGCTCAAGATGCCGGGTGATCGAAGCCATAACCCTTGTCCTTCTCGCAGTCTCAATAACCCTTCTGATTCTTTCTCACAACCTTAAGCAAGCCCCATCCTGAACATCAGCAAGTAAGGGAGTGGCATCATTACAGCCTCGGACAGCTTTGCCCATATACTTCCAACAAAAGCATACTTGCCAGTACCCTTCAAACTTCACCCTTCACCCCAATCCTCTTTGAGTGCCCCACAGCAAAGGACCCCGAACGCAAACCCAAAAGCATGCAACCAAAACATCGAAACGAGTGTTCAACAAATTCAATAGTTGGCCAGGCAGAGGATTTTCTGTTCGCAATGGACCTCCTGAACTCCCTGGACGCTTTCCGGTCGCCTTGCTGCGCCTATGTAGATGTTTGCTCTGTGCATTTTCGTGCTGCATCCGAATGAGTGAGACGTGTCCGGCGCCTGCATTTGCAGATTCGGATTTGTCATGTATGGGTTAAACCCTCAAAGTACGAATATGGTGCAATGGAAAGGTCTCGGCAACACCGCTTTACCGTTGAAACCTCTCCAAGACTATAGGTCAGGACTCTGCAGTGTATAGCCGTGCATCAATTCTGCCACTCGCAAACCTCGGCCCAGTCTGCGCTGTTTGGACGAGCTGAACCTGCGAGATGCGGGCAGCACAGGAGGCAGGGCCTGCACTGAGAGCCGGAAGGAGGGTAGACTCGTCCAGGCAGCGATCTACTGTGGCGTGACTTCGTCGACGTAACAGGTCTGTGATCGATTCATAGTCTAGCCTGCTAATTACGACGAATGCCGCAGTGCTTAGCCCAGCCACTTTGTTCCACGTGCTCAAATTGAATGTAAGGGTTGCTGCTAGGCGTGTCTTGGTCTGCACAGTTTGAGTTTACAAAGCCGAGCCAGGCGATTCTAAGCAGTTTTGCCTTCAGCGTATCTTCGGCATCACGCTGGGCGCTGCTGCGGCGACGTGGGGCAGCACTCAACAAGGCCATTGATGCAGGGTCGCAGCTAGCAGCAAAAGGGAATGACGCTCAGATTGGCCTGGCAAGTGGGGGAGCGCCAGATGCTTAAAGCTCACGCTGATGCCTTCTCTACGAATTCGGAGAGGCGATTCGGTTACGAGCAAGGCTTAACAGAAAATGCTTCCTAAACTTCATCAGGCTAAAAGTTGCACCTGGGCAAGGCGTCGGGTGAGGTGCTTTTCCCTGGTCGATTGTTTTTACTGAGTTGCGGATCTTGGCGAGCACGAAACGAAGGCAGATTTTGTGGGCCCTGATCTCTGCGTCAAGTGCAGCAGAAGCTTGCGAGTGTTTCCTGCGACTCAAGAGCTCTGGTCTGTGTATTTTCTTGTCCGCTTGATCCGCCTTGGTGGAGGCCCGGAGGGGGAGCGCCAGGAGAGCCGACTTCTGTGCTTGGGCCCTGTGACCGGTCCATGCCTGACCTTTCGATGGAAGGACGCCTTTTCGCTGGCTGCATGGTCTACGGGAGTGTTTAGGAACTTCAGAGAGTTAAGTCGGAGCATCGACACACCGAAATTTCCGAAGGGCTTGAATTGCCTTTCAATGTGGCATGCCGAAGGATACGCCTGCTTTGGGTGCTGCTGACGAGAGCCGACAGCCCATTGAGGGCCTCGCGGCTTGAATTGGCAAGGTCGCGGCACAACTCACGGGTCTTGGCGCTTCACCCCGCCGTTGCACTTGCTTCTGACGTGCTCTGTGGTGTTTTAACTTGACAGTGGGGCTTTGGCTTTGGTCGTCTTGGCGGATGGCTCCAGTTCTGGGGGCTGACGATAATGCCTGGATCCTTGTTCTGCAGTCTAGGGAAGGTCCCAACCAAAGGAAATGAACCCAGAACGCACGGCTGCCTCCCAAGCCACGCACTCCTGCAGAAATGCCTCATTCAGGTGTAGAGGCACAGGTCGTCCACCAGTCCAAGACGGAATGGTCCGCCTGAAGAAGGTCCCTTTTTCATCCTGAAACGCAGAAAGGACACACCCCCGTGTCCAGCTGCACCTCCAAATGCACTTCTCTGCATGCATCTGTCTATGACGGACTTCAGCTAACCCAGTGTTTGATTCAAAGTCGTTGTTGGCTAGACTTATGCGGATAAAACTAAAGTTCAGAATTCACACACGCACACGCACACGCACACGCACACGCACACGCACACGCACACGCACACACGCACGCGCACGCAGACGCAGACGCAGACGCAGACGCAGACGCAGACGCAGACGCAGACGCAGACGCAGA